GGCCTCGCAACCTTCAAAATTTCTCAAAAAGCGTTGACATTAGCCTTTAATTTTGAAAATTTTTGACTTTTTTTCGGCTCCAAAATAAAAATTTCTGAAATGTTTACCATGGTCCTTAATACCCTTCGGAAGTCCAATTGGGTGGATTCCAATTTGCCTTTAAACGGCCTATTTAGCGGTTTATAACTTGCACCGATTTCATTAAATCAAGCCTACCACGAACATTTATGACAAAAAATAATGATCAAATATTACCAAACGGCATTATATGACCCCGAGATGTATCTCCTAAAATTTCAAGACTTTTCGACCCTGGGCCCCGAATCCTCCTAAATGTCTCAAAAAGCGTGGATATTAGCCTTCAATATTGAAAATTTTGAATTTTTTTCGCCCAAAAATAATAATTGCTGAAATGTTTACCATGATCCCCTAATATTGTCTGGTAGTACCATTGGGTGGGTGGAACCATCCAATTTGTCTTTAAACGACCAATTTACCGATTTACAACTTGCATCGATTTCATTAACTAAAGTCTACCACGAACGTTTATGACAACAAATAATGATCATATATGGTTCAAAACGGCATTATATGACCCCGAAATGTATTCTCTAGAATCTCAAGGCTTTTCGATACCGGCCCATAAACCTCCAAAATTTCTCAAAAAGCGTGGATATTAGCCTTTATTTTTGGAATTTTTAGACTTTTTCCCCCCGGAAATAATAATTTTCGAAATGATTACCATGGTCCCTATCCTTCGGGAGTCCAAATGGATGGGTGGAACTATCCAATTTGCCTTTAAACGGCCTATTTATCGCTTTATAACTTGCACCGATTTCATTGACTCGAGCCTACCACGAACATTTATGACAACAAATAATGATCATATATGGTTCCAAACGGCATTATATGACCCCGAGATGTATCTCCTATAATTTCAATACTTTTCGACACCGGGCCCCGAAACCTCTAAAATTTTTCAAAAAGTGTGGATATATTAGTCTTCAATTTTGGAATTTTTTGAATTTTTTCGCCCCGAAATAAAAAATTGCCGAAATGTTTACCATGGTCCCTAATATCCTCCGGGAGTCCAATTGGGTTAGTGGAACCATCCAATTTGCCTTTAAACGACCAATTTACCGGTTTATAACTTGCACGGATTTTTTTAACTCAAGCATACTACGAACATTTATGACAACATATAATGATCATATATATATGGTTCCAAACGGCATTATATGACCCCGAGATGTATCCCATAAAATATCAAGACTTTTCTACACTGGGCCCCGAAACCTCCAAAATTTTTCAAAACACGTGGATATTAGCCTTCAATTTTGGAATTTTTTGACTTTTTTTCGCCTGGAAATAAAAATTACCGAAATTTTACAATTTTTACCATGGTCCCTAATACCCTCCGGGAGTCCAATTGAATGGGTGGAACCATCCAATTTGCCTTTAAACGACCATTTCACCGGTTTACAATTTGCTCCGATTTCATTAATTCAAGCCTACCACGAACATTTATGACAACAAATAATGATCATATAAGGTTTCAAACGGCATTATATGACCCCGAGATGCATCCCTTGGAATTTCAAGATTTTTCGGCACCGGGCCCTAAAACCTCCAAAATTTATCAAAAAGCGTGGATATTAGCCTTCAATTTTGGAATTTTTTTGACTTTTTTTTCGCCTAGAAATAAAAATTGCCGAAACGTTTACCATGGTCCCTAATACTCTCCGGGAGTCCAACTGGGTGTGTGTAACTATCCAATTTGCTTTTAAATGGTCAATCTACCGGTTTGCAACTTGCACTGATTTACTGGTTTACAACGGCCAATTTAATTAACTTGCACTGAATCCGACTTGATTCGAAATAGACCCAAACCCGTTTTAACCCGTCAAAACTCGAATTTAACACGGCTTGTTAATAACCTGACCTGAATTCAACCTGAAGCGTTCCTAACTCGACTCGAATTTTACCTCACCTGTTACAAACCCGATCCGAAATAAACCCGACTTGTTATTGACCCGGCCCGAATTTTACCAGACCTATTACTTACCCGACCCAAAAATTCAACCCGATATGTTACCATCCCGACTCTAAATTAACACGACTTGTTATTGACCCGACCTAAATTCAACCCAAATTGTTCCTGACCCGATTTCAAATCACCTTAAATGCAATTTAGACCATCTTATTATTGTTTATCAAAGCATTTTGTTTAGGGAGACCAAGTCGGTCCAGACCAACAAAAGAAAGGAGCATCATCTTCAAATTTAAGAGTTAAATATAGTATATATTTGTTGTATGGTCAAAGGAATTAATTATCTTCCTAAATTATAAACTATAGTTCCCTAGTATATTGTCATATATATTATAGTCAAAGGAAATAATTAGCTTGATAAAAATGATAATTATCTATTTATAGTTAGTTGAACCCGAATATAACCTGACTTGGAAATGACCCGACCTGATTGTAACCTGTAAATTATTGACTTGAACATAAACCGACTTGAATCCGAGAATGACCCGACTTGGAAATGACCTAACCTGATTATAACCCGCAAATTATTGACTTGAACCAAACTCGACTTGAACACGAGAATGACCCGACTTGAAAATGACCCGGTCTGATTATAATGCGCAAATTATTGACTTGAACCGAACCCGACTCAAACCCGAGAATGACCCGAACCGATTTTAACCCGCAAATTTTTGACTTGAATCGAACCCAAGAATTACCCTAACCCGTTTTAACCCGTGAAAACCAGAATTAAACTCGACCTAGTGTTCACCTGACCCGAATGTAACCCGACCTAAACCCGACCCAAACCCGATAAGAAGTATGACCCAACTCAAGCATGATCCAACCCAGACCCGACCCGCATAGGTTATGGAATAACTCCGAATTGACCCGCCGACCCGTTTACCCGAAATGACAGCTCTAACGGGGGAGTGGTACTTTTAATTTGCGAATTTGCCCTTGAACAATAGGCTTCCTTTCAAATGAGAGAGGAATAGTTTGTATGTTGTATAAGAATTTATTTTTCTTTTTGAAATTTAGTTCTATTCTACATTAAATGCTGGAGGTTTTACACATAAATCAATATGTAAAAAATGAGTTGAACAGTGTTGCATTACATGCATAATTGTAGATCATACAGCCATAAGTAGTTTCACTAATACTCTCTATTATTTTTCTTTTTGTATAGAGAAATACAAAAGGCAAATGATATAGACGGAATGAAATTCTAATCATGAGAATCGTCCCCACGTTTATCCACTAGCCAAGCTGATACACTATTACTGATATCAACACGTACAAGATGAAGACTCTTTAATATTAGATGATGAATGAGACTAAAAAAATATACATACTAAAATATATGGTCTCATGCATCATTACTAATTTCATCTCCATTCAGAAAAAAATCTTACCGTAATTGAGGTCAAAACCATCACCTGAATAACCATCCTCAATACCGATAATTTTTTTTTGGTGGTTTGTTGTATACCACCGTCAAATGATGACCATACACTACAAAATGTTGATTGAACTGTAGCTTTCATTCGACTCCAAGATCTAGTCCTCCGCCAAAGAACTTGAAGACAGAACTACCACATGATAATTTGTATGATACTCGAATATTCAACATTTTATACTTGAACTTCACAAGGTATCTTTGCCCCTCTCTATCGAAGGGCTCCACCCAATTAGACTATAATTATTACTCCGTATATAATTAAGATGCCATGAATATCCCACAACTAACTCTGATGGTTTGGCTTCACATAAGCAATAGCCTTCAGCCTTCGCTATCACCAAATGTGGACACTTAACCTAAGTAAAATGCTTAATGACATGGATCAGCCCCGCAACAGTTGGCCATTCATACAAAACATGCTAAAATACATCAATTACAAGTATTTTGCAGAATCAACCCTAATTATATCAGCATTCTTCTACATTTAAACTCTGCATTAAAATTCAGAGTAGCAGAAAAACCTGTTAAAATAAACATGCCTCCATTATGGTGTGGACGTGTGGTGTATCATAGACAGCTAATTGCCTATAATATAAACAGTTTATGTCAAATTTAACACAACAAAATGCTCTAGCACTGATCTGGCCATACATCAAAAACAATTACCTTGAAATCATCAAGACATTCCAGATTAACAAGGATCCTGATCAACAAAGAATAATCAGCCTAAATTTCACAAACTCAAAAGAACAGAACATGACCACGATTTATAGACAGGATGTAAATTGTCTCCTAGAATGACTCTTTTTGCAAGAAAAATAAAAATTATCAATTTCCTAGAACATCTCGAATCTCGATCCTTCACATGTCCTACCTAAGTTCAAGGGCATATTCATCATTTTTTATCTTCTCAAGAATTCCAACTGAGACTTCTCCTATCCCCATATGATCACGAGTCATGAGACAATGTTCAAGGGAACTGAGTCATGTCACTTCTTATGTCATTTCATAAGACTAAGTTAAATCAAAGCAAATAATTAAATCCTATAAAGATTAATAATTTGATTAAAGAAAAAGATCAACAAAAAGGATGAACGTGGAGATAGTAGAGATGATCATTACTAGTCATCAAAAGCTCATACGCTAGCAGGGCGTGTTACACACTCACATGTATCACAACCACCATGGCCATGGTACACCGAGGCATACAGTAAAGGTTCTGATCACCAAGCATGAACATATCCAAAGCTCATACGCTAACAGTACATGACATGTGTTACACTCTCACATGTATCACATACCACCCCGGGCATGGTACACCGAGGCGTACAGTAAAGGTTTTGATCACCAAGCTAGATCATATCAACATATCCTTCAATAAATGAAACATTCCTATTGCCATTACTAAGCTACTCTAAACTCTAAAGTAACAAGTATAAAATTCAGCTATCTCAACAACACAAAACCATACACAAGCCAAAATAACAAACAATCCAAAAATTCTACACATTTTCGACAAGTAAAACAATATACATTACTGTATAAGAGTATAACCAATATAATGAGCTGCATGAATTACAATTACATTAACCAATGCCAAAATGTATAAGATTTCACCAAGATTAAGCCCAAACCAAATCAATATAAGATAAAAATGTATGATACACCAGATTTAACATAAAGGGGATAATCCCTTTGTAATGTCTAAATTAAAATCAGAAGCCGCCAGAGAAAGTACAAATTGGGTACAACTCAGAACATCATCGGACAAAATTGATAACAATTACTCAAATAACCAGGTTAATTCCATCAAACCTCAACGCCGAAATTAGATTGAAAAAATTAGGGTTTCATCGATGAGCAGTAATCAAGGTTTCAATGAACCTTAACCCATCAAATCTGGGTGAAAATTTCTCCTTCCCCATTGATGAAGACGATGATTGCGCGCCAAAAGACGCATTTTCCTGCATTAATTAAAAAAACAAATAAACCCCAAAACTCATAAATTCATAACAAAATTATAATTGAATCAAAATCCCAAAAAAGAAATTGAATTCAATTGGGGAAAATTACCTGTAATTGGGAAGGAAATGTGAAAAGAGGAACAGTAGAAGCTGCAAGAATGGATGCAACAAGACCGCTAGATCCCTTCATTTTGATTGAAATTCGATTGAATTGAATAATTGAAAGAAAAGGGTTTCAGAAAAATGGGCGAAATCCGGCTGAGAAGAACTCCGCCGGACCTCGACCAAGAAGAATCTGGAAGAACAGTAGAGTAGTTAAGAAGCAACCCTTTCTCTTTTGCCAGGAAGAAATGTTCTGTACTTTGCAACTCTCACGCTTTTCTTTCTTTGATTTTGTTTTTGTTTTATCGGATTTCTTGCTAATTTTGGTTGTGTTATTTATGGTCGGTGGTTACAGGTTACAGCATTCAAGTAATTAGATTAGGTTTGGGGTTACTAGGTTGGGAAAGTCTTCACTACTCTTAATTAAAAAAAAAAAAAAAAAGGAAAATAATTTTGTTGTCTATATGAACTTATGAAGTATGACACTTTCAATTTTGATGTTCTAAAGCCGATATTATCATTGCTAGATGCATCGGAAAAATAAATTGGAGTTTATTGAATTAATGTTGGTGATTTTAACGCTCTCTTAATTTGGTTGAAGTTATCAGTAATATTCTTTTAATTATCGTTGAGGATTACTGGTTAAAGTTATTAGCAATGGTGTTTTGATTGTCGTTAGTAATTGCTTAGTAAACCTCTATGTTGAAGGAGATAATTTGAATATGATAAACAAATTATATCATTAGAAGGAATTTGGTCAAAATTTATGGAGGTTTCAGTTTTTGCGTGATTGAAGACATTAGAATCATGTAACCCCCATATGTCATGTATATCGAGAAGCTACTAGGGTTACCGGTTGACGGAACTAGCCTATGTTGACTTCAATAATAAGAATATTAGAAAAGATAATTGCTTAATAAATCTCTCTGATATAAGAGATAATTTGATTTTGATTATGATAAATATATGACCTTAAAAAAAATGATAATCTTTTAAAGTTTCAATTGGTGATTGAAGACATTAAATTATAATCATGCAATAACATCATCATACATCATGTACATGGAGAAGCTAATAGAGCTACCAATATTCTACTAGACCTACCCTATCCAAACTTTGACAATAGAGAAATATTTACTAAATTGTATAGGTCTTATTCTTGTAGATAATACTACATATATGATTTTGCCATATGAGCAGACATTAAGACTTGTTAATTTGTTAGGGTGTATTTTCTTCACCGAACTTTATAAAATATAAATTATAATATCTAATTAGGCCGAATTTTCACCTTAAATCTGATTGGGCAATCTACTCGGAATAGGCATTATTTTTTTTTTTTATTTGAAACGCGGAATAGGCATTATTAGCCTTACAGCTTATTTTCAAAAGGTAAACATAACACATCCTCATATTTTATAAAACAGTTAATTAGTAAAATTGTTGATTCAAAATATTTCACCTTATAATTTAAGTACAATAACATGAGTAAATTAATTCATCATCATCTCATCAAATTAGCATTCCCCTACCCCCAAGGCCCCAACCCCACTCAACACCCCACATCTAAAACAATTTTCATTCAGGGTGGGTCAAGGTGACATTGGACAACCTTCCTCTATAAATATGTGAAGATATATTTCGAATGACTTATGATACAATGTGTGATGATCTTGTGCTGCTTCACAACAATATAAAGTGAATAAAAAGCCTTTTTATTTAGCTTATAGTAATCTAATCGCTAATATTTAAAGTTAGGAATAGACAGCTGAATGAAAATCATATAATAAGTGTATGTGAAGACATAAGATGTTGTACAGATTTTTTTTGACTAATAAATTAACAAATGAAAAATAATCCCAACTCCCCCACCCCCAAAAAAGAGAGAAAAAAGAGAGCCCAATCTCTTTCCCGTTTATAATACAAGGAGCAGCCTTCTCAATTCGCAGGGCCACGGTCATGCCCATCAACCTTCTTTCATTCCCCATCAAGAGGCAGGGAATGCTCCGAATGCAAGCAAATGGTTCTTGCAACTTTTTCATGAGCAAACAATGTCATGTCTTCCGCCCCATTCTTGCAAATCTTCTGGCCACTCCAAATATAACTGCTTTGGTCAAGAGCCCTCTGTCAACAGTGCACGCAAGAGCAATAGCCCCACCTACTATGACAACTCTAGGTATGGCTATTCCTGATTTCTCTGAAGAATTTGTATCTGTGTCGTGATTTTCAATTGGCAAATCACCAGTTGCAGCCTCCAAGGCCTTGAGGTAATCTATACTTACTCGAGTATAAGAATGAGCCATCAAAGCACAATGAGAAATTGTACCTCCAGACAATTTCTCTTTTTGGTATGTGCGCAAGCCAGGGTCTATCTTCTTAACTGCATTCCACATACCCTGCTTGATTCCAAGCTTCGCAATCTCCCAAGGAATACCCATATCTTCATGATGGAAGAGTATTACCTCACATGCAGTCATCTGGCCTTCCTTTTTCTGAGATTCAGCTGGTTCATTTTCATATGATTAATAGTTCAGTATTCCCTTCCAAAGCTATCGTAATAACTTAACTACTGCTAATATGAGTGGCTAAACAAAAGTACCTGCACGAATGCACCAACTTGAATAATAAAGATCAACACGCCTTGGTTTATCTCGTCTAGTCAGAGAGGGAAAAGGCACACCCTGTAACAAAACAGAAAAGGAGATGATTGGTCACTTAATTCAGCTATACATGTTTGAACGATAACAGCTTATTGGGTACTCCTTGTCAAATGATAAATCCACACCAATTTCATTTCAATGCAAAAAACCTAGTACACTGCCAGTTCGATTAAACAGTGGGAATAAGAAATTGGCCTGATGCAACTCTCAGATGTAACTCATGATAGTCCACCAGTATGAGCAACCAAAGTATGCACTTGCCCAACACCCTTTGGTCCCTACTAATTCACCCACAATCATTCAAAGACTCAATGGTAGTAATTGGTAAATTACCAGGAAGCAAGGGAGCACAATCAGACCCCAATCCAAAAGGATTTTCATTTAGGGAAACTTTAAATTCTTTAAAGGGTGCTATTGCGGAGGTAGATGCAGCTTACATCGTTCTCATTTTTTGTCACTAGTGGAGGGCAAAGGTTTCCACTGATGTCATCGATTCTAGGGAAGGTCCTGAAATCTAGACTTTTGAATTCAGTCACTTCCGAAAAACATTACAACAATGTGTTTTGGGGCTGCTCATGATCATGGAGCTTGAAACCGATCATGCTTCTCACCACTAAATGGGTATGAGTGGTATGACTCATATGAGTTATGAAGTAGTTCAAAACTTCAAATTGCCAGAGGTCTAAACTTCAACATCTTCTAATGTTCAAACATCTTGAACTTTGGCACCACTCTGCATCTATGTTTGAGCTTTGGCTGATAGATCTATTGATCTACGGATCTATAACGTTGTTTTGAGCTCTGTCTGTACATAGATTTTATGAGCTTTACCTCCAGGTGTTGCAAGTTCAAGCTCCTAAGAGTTTTGAGCTTTAGCTCTAGAATGTATCAAGTTCATGCTACTATTTAGATCCCCATATTTTTGCCAAAAAAAGAAAGAAAAACAAATTGAAGGCATAGTCAAAAGCTCACAAAAGCCAATGTTACCTTTGTGACGCAATAATAAGAGCCTCCAGATTCCCAGATCCGGCGACCAATTACATACTCTCTGTCACTGCAGAAGAATGGAAACTGCAAGGAGCATAAATTATGAACATGAACAACAGAGAAACACAAACGCTTTATCTGGAAAGAAAGAGGAGGAATTATAAAAGAATTGATGATGCCAAAATATACCTTGCGTACCCACTGCACTATCATGGTGCCGGTAGACTGAAACTCCTCCAATACAGCATGATGTATGAGCATATCATCCCATTTGGATCGAAATTCATCGTCCCAGAAAAAATCTCTCACCATCTCTGGAGTAGCATCTTCAAAGACAGTTCTACTACGATACTGTGGAGGACCAGTCTATAAAATGAACCATGCAAAGGTTAGTTACTACTTTTAAATACACAGAGAATCAGACTGCCAATCCAAAACTCTAAATTAATATTTGAATAAAATAACAAAGCATTCTTAAGTGGTAGCAATTAACTAACATGACAAATATGAAAAAACAAGGGAAACTAACCGGGGGATCTCTGCGCCAAGCTTGGTAGGTCATAGTTGGAGTAGAACGATCCATCATATGAATCCAAGCAGGCCCTCCATCTTGCACTTCAACCAATTGATACAAATGCCTCAAATCAGCTTCATTGAGAGCAGAGGCCACATGTCTCTCATGATTTGACAAACTGAAACATGAATTATAACCCAAAATATTTGGCAGATCATTGAGGAGAGCAAGAAAGCACTTGCAGAAATGATATCATTCTACCAAACTCTCAGATTAGAATATTATATGTATTAACCAAGAACCAATTAAAAGATATATAGCAAGACAGCCATTAGCATCTTCATCTTTGGTCTCCCAGAGCCTAGTAAAAGAAACCTTCCTTGGACTGGCTACCACTTAACATTTTCTAATATCTATTCATCAATATGAATCTTACCATGTTAACTAAACCCTGATTGCATACTTGTCACCGCCCGCGCCCCCCCCCCCCCAAAAAAAAAAAAAAAAAAAAAATCAAACTCAAACTCAAGGTACAAGCCAAAAGAGACTCGTAAATTAAATTCAGATACAGGACAGTCAATAAATAGTAAAATTGACATGATAAACAGATGATTAACCATGCAGAAGTGATTGCTAATCATACTTCACTGGCAATACTAGACCCTATGTGACCCATCATATTTAGGTTAATATATGAACAGCTATATATACCTTTTTTTAATAGGTAAGCATAACTCTGATGGCCCCTAAATGATCTAAACAGGCAAACATTTTATACGCCATATTATTAGAGTTGTCATTTCGGGTAAACGGGTCGGGTAAGAGTGGGTCGGATCAATTCAGATTAATTCCATAACCTATGCGGGTCGGGTTTGGGTTGGGTCATTTTCAAGTCGAGTCATTCTCGGGTTCAAGTCGGGTCATTCCATAACCTATGCGGGTCGGGTTTGGGTTGGGTCATGCTTGAGTCGGGTCACGTCAGGTCATACTTCTTATCGGGTTTGGGTCGGGTTTAGGTCGGGTTAATAACAAGTCGGGTTACATCGAGCTGGGTGAACAATAGATCGGGTTTAATTCGGGTTAAAACGGGTTAGGGTAATTCTCGGGTTCGAGTCGGGTTCGGTTCAAGTCAATAATTTGTAGGTTAGAATTAGGTAGGGTCATTCTCGGGTTTGAGTCGGGTTCGGTTCAAGTCAATAATTAGCGGGTTATAATTAGGTTGGGTCATTTTCAAGTCGGGTCATTCTCGGGTTCAAGTGGGGTTCGGTTCAAGTCAATAATTTGCGGGTTATAATCAGGTTAGGTCATTTCCAAATCGGGTCATTCTCGGATTCAAGTCGGGTTATGTTCAAATCAATAATTTGCAGGTAACAATCAGGTTGGGTCATTTCTAAGTCAGGTCATATTCGGGTTCAACTAACTATAAATAGATAATTATCATTTTTATCAAGCTAATTATTTTCTTTGATTATAATATATATGGCAATATACTAGGAAACTATAGTCTATAATTTCGGAAGATAATTATCTCCTTTGACCATATAACAAATATATACTATATTTAACTCTTAAATTTGAGGATGATTCTCCTTTCTTTTGCTGGCCTGGACCGACTTGGTCGATCTAGACAAAATGCTTTGATCAACAATAATAAAGTAGTCTAAATTGCATATAAGGTTATTTGAAATCGGGTAAGGAATAATTTGGGTCAGGTCAATAACAAGTCGCGTTTAATTTAGGTCAGGACAATAACAAGTCGGGTTGATTTCGGGTCGGGTTTGTAATAGGTTGGGTTAATTTCGGGTCGAGTTATGAATGGGTCGGGTTGAATTCAGGTCAAGTTAGTAACAATTCGGGTTAAATTCAGGTTTTTACGAGTTAAAACAGATTTGGGTCAATTTCGGTTCATGTCGGGTTCAGTGCAAGTTAATTAAATTGGCCATTGTAAACCGGTAAATCAGTGCAAGTTGTAAACTGGTAAATTGCCGTTTAAATGCAAATTGGATGGTTCCACACACCAATGGACTCCTAGAGGGTATTAGGGACCATGATAAACATTTCGACAATTTTTATTCCGGGCGAAAAACAATAAAAAATTTCTAAAATTGAAGGGTAATGTCCACGCTTTTTGAGAAATTTTGGATATTTCGGGGCTAGTGTCGCAAAGTCTTGAGATATTAGGGAATGCATCTGGGATCATATAATGCCGTCTGGAACAATATATGATCATTATATGTTGTCATAGATATTCGCGGTAGGCTTGAGTTAATGAAATCGGTGCAAGTTAGTTGTAAACTGGTAAATTGGTCGTTTAAAAGAAAATTGGATGGTTTCACCCACCCAATTGGACTCTCGGAGAGTACTACGGACCATGGTAAACATTTTGGCAATTTTTTTTTCAGGCGAAAAAAAGTCGAAAAAATTCAAAAATTGAAGGCTAATATATCCATGTTTTTTTAGAAATTTTGGAGTCTTTAGGGCCCGATTCCTAAAAGTCTTGAAATTTTAGGGAATATATCTCGGGGTCATATAATGTCGTTTGGAACCATATATGAACATTATTTGTTTGTAAAAAACGTTCGTGGTAGGCTTAAATTAATGAAATCGGTGCAAGTTGTTAACCATTAATTGGTCGTTTAAAAGCAATTTGGATGGTTCCACCCACCCAATTGGACTCCCGTGGGATATTAGGGACCATGGCAAACATTTTGGCAATTTTTATTTCCGTGCGAAATAAAGTCAAAAAATTGCAAAATTGAAGGCTTAATATCCATGCTTTTTAACAAATTTCTAAAGTTTCGGGGCCCGGTATCGAAAAGAAATGTGATTTTACGTCTCGAGGTCATATAACGTCGTTTGGAACCATATATAATAATTATTTGTTGTCATAAATGTTCGTGGTAGGCTTGAGTTAATGAAATCGGTGCAAGTTATAAACCGCTAAATTCGCCATTTAAAGGCAAATTCGATGGTTCCACCCACCTAATTAGTCTCCAGGAGGGTATTAGGGACCATGGTAAACATTTCGGCAATTTTTATTTACATACGAAAAAAAGTCGAAATATTCCAAAATTTAAGGCTAATATCCAAGTTTTTTTTAGAAATTTTGGAGGTTTAAAGGCCCGACGCCGAAAATCCTTGAGATTTCAGGGAATACATCTCGGGGTCATTTATATTGTTTGGAACCATATATGATTATTATATACTGTTATATATGTTCGTGGTAGGCTTGAGTTAATGAAATCGGAGCAAGTTAAACCGGTAAATTGGCCGTTTAAAGGCAAATTGGATGGTTCCACCCACCCAATTGGACTCCCATAGGGTATTAGAGACGATAATAAACATTTCGTCAATTTTATTTCCGGACGAAAAAAAAAAATTCCAAAATTGAACGCTAATATCCACTTTTTTGAGTGTCTATAAGTCTCGAAATTTTAGAGAATACATTTGAGAGTCATATAATGTTGTTTGGAACCATAGGTGATCATTATTTTTATCATAAATGCTCGTGGTGGGCTTGAGTTAATGAAATCAATGCAAGTTGTAAACCGGTAAATTTGTCGTTTAAAGGCAAATTAAATGGTTCCACCCACCCAATTGGATTCCCGAAGGGTATTAGGGACCCATGGTAAACATTTCGGCAATTTTTATTTCCGGGCGAAAAAAAGTTGAAAAATTCCAAAATTAAAGGCAAATATCCAAGCTTTATGAGAAATTTCGAATGTTTCGGGGCCCGATGTCAAAAAGAAATGAGATTTTAGGGGATATATCTCGGGGTTGTATAATGCCGTTTGAAACCACAAATAACCATTATATGTTCGGGTAGGCTTGAGTTAATGAAATCAGTGCAAGTTGTAAACCGGTAAATTGATCGTTTAAAGAAAAATTGTATGGTTCCACCAACCAATTAGATTATTTGTTTGTTTAAAGAAAAATCGTTTGGAACCATATTTGATAATTATTTGTTGTCATAAATGTTCGTGATAAGCTTTAGTTAATGAAATTGGTGCAAGTAGTAAACTGGTAAATTGGCCGTTTAAAGGCAAATTGGATGGTTCCACACACCCAATTGGACTACCAGAGGGTATTAGGGACCACGGAAAACATTTTGGCAATTTTTATTTTCAGGCGAAAAAAATCAAAAAATTCCAAAATTGAAGGCAAATATCCATGCTTTTTTAGAAATTTTTGAGGTTACGGGGACCGGTGTCGAAAATCTTTGAGATTTTAGGGGATACATTTCGGTGTAATATAATACTGTTTTAAACCATAAATGATCATTATATGTTGTCATATTTGTCCGTGGTAGGATTAAGTTAATGAAATTGGTGCAAGTTGTAAACTGATAAATTCGCCATTTAAAGGCAAATTGGATGGTTCCACCCACCTAATTAGACTCCCGTAGAGTATTAGGGACCATGGTAAACATTTCGTCAATTTTTATTTACAAGCGAAAAAAAGTCAAAAATTCCAAAATTTAAGGCTCGGTGTCGAGATTTCGAGGCCGGTGTCGAAAATCCTTGAGATTTTAGGGAATACATCTCGGGGTCATATAATGTCGTTTGTTCCGGCCAGCCAATTTCTCCCGGAGGTTATTAGGGACCATGGTAAATAATTCAACAATTTTTATATTCAGGGGAAAAAAAGTTTAAAAAAAATTCCAAAATTGAAAGCTTATATCCACGCTTTTTAAGAAATTTCGATTGTTTCGGGGCCCGGTGTCGAAAAGCATTGAGATTTTAGGGGATACATCTCGGGGTCATATAATGTCGTTTGGAACCATATATGATCATTATATGTTGTCATAAATGTTAGTGGTAGGCTTGAGTTAATGAAATCGGTGCAAGTTTTAAACTGGTAAATTGGTCGTTTAAAGGCAAATTGGATGGTTCCACCCATCCAATTGGACTCCCAGAGGGTATTAGGGACCATGGTAAACATTTCGGCAATCTTTATTTTCGTGTAAAAAAAATTAAAAAATTCCAAAATTGAAGGCTAATATCCACGCTTTTTGAGAAATTTTGGAGGTTTCGAGTAGAGCCGTCCGTAATCGGGTTGATTTCCAGTCGGGTTTGTAACAGGTTAGGTTAAATTCGGGTCGGGTTAAAAACGGGTCGGGTTGAATTAAGGTCGTTGAATTAAGGTCAGGTTAGTAACAAGTCGGGTTAAATTCGGGTTTTGACGGGTTAAAACGGGTTTGGGTCAATTTCAATTCAAATCGGGTTCGGTTCAGGTCAATAATTTACGGATTACATTCGGGTCCGGTCATCTCCAGGTCAGTTCATGTTCGGGTTCAGGTCTTACACACTCGGGTCAACTCGGATTTAGGGTTGGTTTTAGGTCGGATCAGGTCGGGTTTAGGTCACCATTTTTTCGGGTTTAGATGGTTCGGTTAATAATCGATTGTGAGTCGGTATTTTGGGTCGGGTCAACTTTTGACACCTTTACATATTACACCTTTGTTGCAACCTTTTGACTTTCACACTTGCCAAATGCACAACTATGACCACTAGTTCCTTTAATAATCCATTAGTAAAAAAGTTTCCATATTTTGCAGAGACAAAAAAGCATCTCTTACATTGGGACATTTGAAATAAATGGATCCTCAATTAAAAAAAAATAAAAAAAAAAGTTTATAAAAGGATAAGTAGGAAACAAAGAGGAATAAAAGGAGGGGGAAAAATCTAACTTGTTTATCGCTTTCTTAGAAGAAAAACCTTGTAAACTAAAAACTACTCTCCTTTCCAAACATTCTCACCAAAGTTGTTTTCATAGTTAATTCCGCATAATAAGCTACATCACTGCCTAATATCAACAGGAAACAGAATTACAATATAGTTTTGCCCTCTTCAAAAGAGATAAAGTGTTGTGGTCTTATTATATTAAGTAAGGTATGTTGTTAAACTTTATGGTATGGGCTCTTTGTCTTATTCTAACAAGAACAACTAAACAGTTCTTGAAGTAAGGTTAAGAGAACATAGCCTTGCTTACCCTCTCATTGCTATTAGCCCAAACAAGGCAAAACTTTGGCTAATGGCAAAATAAGAGGGCAGGGGGAGGGCATAAGAGTTGCTAGTAATTTTTCATCAGGTATTAACATCTACATTAACAAATTCTTAACTCATTTACAAGGTCAATTAAAACGTTCAAACAACTGCTAATTTGCCAGAGGTATATTATTAGCTCCAACTCCCTCTTATAACATACGGGATATATAATACCCAGCAACAACTAGGTACATTAATATGTTTTAGGCATCACATGTACCCAAAAATTCATCAATTGTGGTAAAGCCAACGTGTGAGTTACCCATTTAATTTTCTTAACATTCTAAAAACATAACAATGAAAACAAAAATCATAACCTCATTCCCAAAAGAACGGGGTTGGCTCCATAAACCAAGAAATTATGATAATTATCACTTGTGGTCATCCACAAAGATCCCTTTTTTATGGGTTTTCTCCCCCTTTCCTATCTAGTGCTACATGTTCGTGCAAACCTACTTTCTCAATGTCATTCTTATCTCCCTTAATCCAAGACATCTTGGGCCTTCTTCAAGTACTTTTCAAACCTCCATTATCTCAATTCTCATTTCTCAACCTTCCTTGCCAGTGAATCATGTAGTCAACATCACTAATCCCAAATACAGCTATACAAGATAGCTGATTCTCCCTCATCTTATCCTCAATATTCATAAATCCAACATTTCCTCAAATATCAGAGTCCTAATTGTATCTCTCAAATCGTTCCCACACATCCATCTCAACATGTGCAATTATGCATTTTTTTATAACACTCGTCTCCATAACACGTTATTTCCTAAATGCATAACATTTGGACTCGCATAGCAATGCAGGTCTAATTGTTGTCCTACAGAATAACAGAATTCTTTTCAACTTTAACAGCACACTATGATCAGGTTGATCACATAATAACTTAGTTGCAGTTGTTGGTCACTGCTCTCCACTTGAACCACCCAAACTTAACCACTATGAGTTACATCCTAATCAATCCTGAAAAACATTCATTAATAGCCATAATAGGTAAAATCTTACATCTAAAGTAAAACCATCTTCAATTCACCCCCTCCATGTACTCAGTTTTACCATAACTTACTCTAAACCCTAGTGATTCTAACTTTTGTCTCCGTCACTCTTACTTGCATGAACTCCAGTCTCATCAACTAACAAAATACCATCCACAAATAGCAAATACCACTGTGTATCATCTGGGTAGACCTTGTTCCTTCATCTGCAAGTAGCAAATACCATTGTATTTTCCACTTGAAGCGTTTCCATATGGTAAATAGGTGTAACTGTGTAAATGGGGATGAGCATTTGGACTCGCTATGTCTCCATTATTTCCAACCTTGCCAACCATGTTGGGATCCAAATTCAATAAGATTTTAGATATAACCTCCAACAAAGTTGAACATAAGTACAAGTACATTAAGTATTGGACAAATAATGGAATGAAACATGCTAGTGTTACTCAATTTCACAAATTCACGTAGTTTACTCTATATATTCTTCTCAATCTCAATAAGCTCAATTCGCTTTAGTTTCCAGCCAACCCTTCAAACCCAACACAAGCATCAATTTTCTACAATTTTGCCCATCAAAACAAACCTTATTCAATTTCTGTTTGATTCAAAACTGCTCCTAGTTCCATAATCACATTCTTAAGCCCATGAACAGGTTCAATAACCAAAAATCTAGTCAAATTCAAACTTCAATCAATCAATCATATCGCATACACTTTCATTCCACTATAATCCTACCAGAAATTAGGTGCATAACAATTACATGATACCTACAGCATTACACTTACCAACTTAAACCTAAATTTATCTTAATACCCATATGATACAATTGGACTAAATTAAACTACCCATTTGGATTATCAAACAGCAAACTACCAATCTAAAAGTCAAACAAACTTTTGATCAAAACAACCTAATATATTACAATACAATTGCATACAAATAAATAAATTTAAAAAAAAAAAAAACTGAAAACCAACCTTGAATTAGACTTCAAAAGGTTATTTTGCTCATCATCCAAATTGCCATTTGACACAGTCTGAGACAAGAATCTGGGAACCAGTGATTTCAAAGATATAAAACTATAATTTGAATTAAAACCCTTATCATCACTTGAAGAAGAAGATTGCTTTTGAGCTACACCACCACCAAAAATGGCCCAATTGGGCCTCCAAGCCCAACCCACAACAACTCCCACAAAAACAGCAATCCAAAGAGGTACAGTCAACAACATCAGCTCCAACAACATATCCCAGATACTGGGACTCTTTAAAACTTCCAATAACAATGAAATCACAATCATTTTCCCCTAAATTTAATCAAACCCTCGATTCAATTTGATCTGCGTTGAATCGAGGGTTCTTGGGTATGGGGAAGAATGGGGAGAATTCAGGATAAACCCCCCAAAAAAAAAAATTAAATTAAATTGAATGATAATTGAATAAATTGAAGGAAGAAGAAGACAAAAAGGGTAAAGTCAGAATCAGAAAGAAACACAGAAATGAGAAGTAAAAAGTGGATAAGGATTGGAGATAAGTGCCAGCTTATGAGCTCAAGCTGTGGTTGCTACTTAGACCAGAGATTTTCGGATTTTTTGTAGGACCTTTTATTTAATGAGTTTATGATCAATAAGTTTTAATAAGGGATACGGAATATGCTAATTTCTAGTTATTTTATTCCCTTAAAGGCTCAAATAAACGCTACAAATTAATTATGTTTTGATACCAGATTTGCTATTTTATTTTAGATGAGAGTGAAATGAACAAAACTATAAAAAACTAAGCCTATTATAGATTAATCATGTATTACATTTAGATTTGAAAACGTTTGGCGAGTTAGATAAAAAAATTCAAATTTATATAGTGTATTAAAGGAAAAATGATGCTTGAAATTGAAAAAAAAAATAATAATAACTATATACGGAGCATTTATTTATTGTATTAAAAGATGATATACATAAATGTCAAATCTTGTACTATGTATACAAGGATCATATAGTTTCATTTGATCCCATTTAATATTGTACTCAATATGCATTCCACAGTTGGTATTCAGTATTTTAGAGTCATAAATTCCAGTTAATAATTTTTTTTTCAATGTTCTGTACAAGTATTAAGTTGGTTGAATTGATTAAGAATCTATCATAACTTTGTTAGTTGGTTGATACTTGAAGCATTACATAGAATTCCTTTCAATTTGATAATGATGCTGAGATCACCTACACCAATTAGACACTTGTATAACGTTATTCAAAGTGCCTAAAATGTTTCAATAATGCAATTATTGTATTTTAATTAATTTATAAACTTTCAGTGTGTTTGGATTGAAGGAAATGGAAGGAAGGGAAGGAAAGGGAAATGGAGAGATGAAATATCTTTCATTTGGATAACAAAGAGGAAGAAAGGGAATTGGAGGGGAGAGAAATGGAGGGATTAAATTACAAGAAATTTATCCCTCTAACAAGGGAGAGATTGGAAGGAAAACTCACCATTCTTCCTTTTCCTCCCTTTCCCTCCCCTCCTCTTCTCCTCCCTCCCATTCTTTTTCTTCCCCTTTATTTACCCAAACACAGTATTAATGAGATTATGCCCATTTAAACTTTGTTATTATATGAAATTGTAATTTTTCTACTTTGGATCCATCATAGGGAAAGAAACAACAACAATGTACCCATAATTTATTTTATATTGACATCAATCATCAATACATTCACCTAATAGATGTCACTACTCCATCACCTCAAAGATATGAAGTGGGAGCGATATCACTACTCCATCACCTCAACCTCAATGGATTAGCAAGCTTAATGTTTAATGTTTAGGTTTATAAGTGAATTGGTACATACAAGTGTACAATATTCAGATAATGCTAATGATTAGTGGAGTAAGCAAAAGTAATTATTGGAGGAAATGCAAAACGAAGAGTAGTGGGTGATTTGACGGAGACAAAGATAAACGGCCATGAGTGACTATAGAGCATAATGAATTGTGATAAAATCATTATTTGGTCTTGGAATCTCATTACATGCAATTGAATTGAAAGTCTTTTTTATGGTTTTAATAAAACCAAGACATCAAAATTTGGAAGAAAGACGTGAAATTATTATTTTTAATTAATACTTGTTGTTTGTACATTTTTTATAGATAGTTCGATTAATAAATTCATTTCTTTTTATCTGTCTCAATTTCCCTTTTGAGCTGTTTAGGGACCACTACTTTACTCTTACAAAGATACTTTAGGTTCCACTATTTTTCTCTGTCATCAATTTCACTCAATCAAAACTTAATAAAGTGATGTTTCTATGGAAAAACAACCATTAGAGACGGAGTGAGTATGATGTAGCCAGAACATAACCAGCATACGTACTCCTTTGCAACTTTTGACTTTTTCCGCAGAGCTAGGTCACTAACTGCAATTTTCCCAAACTTGAAATGTACAAACTTATTCAGGACCTGTGATGGCTGTGAATGCTCAATTGCTCAAATCTTTCATTGATCTATCTATATTCGTTAGACTATGACACAAGAACTGATAGCAGACCAATAAATTGAATGATACAGTTGAGCCAATACCAGACAACCAATTGGCCATACAAAAAATTGGGCAGATGATAGTTTGCTTAGCAGACAAAAACCAGGGAGAAAACCATCACAACCTGTCCACCACCCCGGCAAAAAAGAGTATGAACACCGGCTTCAGAAACTAGCATGCCATATAGCTCCATCACCTTCTCCACACCGTTGGTGAATTTCCTCCATTCTCTCAACTGATCTACATAGGCCACTGCATCTCCAGTCGAATGATGCAGCGCAAGGGTTTCCTGCCTGCGCCTTCCATTCACAATCTGCACAATTGCACAAACATGACACGGGACTGAGACAAAATGATGACTATTGGGGTGAAAGAGAAAGAGAACATAATATACACTTTTTTGGTTTGAAAAGAGTAAGGCATTTTATTAAGCAAAACCATCAGTCTGTAGAAAGTATCAGACCCAATCATATTTTTTGATTATCTTGCAGCCGAATATTTTGCTAATAATAGATGCATTTGTCCCCTTTCAAGCAAACCATGAAGACAATTTATCTCACAAATTAAACAGAATAATTGTTATAAAGCTCATCTAGAAAAGAAAGATAAACCAATGATGTCCAATGAGTAGGCTAACAGTCTCTTAAGTTTCAAAAGTTGATATCAGATCAAGACTATGAATGCTTGACCATAACCACTAAAGGCCAACAGAATACTTTATACAAACAAGGGTTGAACAAAATTATGCTTTGGCCTTTGGTAAAGTACCTCTACTATGAATCAATGCCTATTTGAGTTGAGCATGTGCCAAGTGACATAGGCACACAACACTCAAGATATTCTAATATGGTCTTTACTGGTCATGCTAATCCAAAAGGATCAGCTAAAATATGTAACCAAAGAAAATGATTGCTTTAACACTTGAACAAAATAGTAATACATCCAAAGCCCGCTTAACTAGTCAGTCACTAAGCTAAAACATTGTGTAACTCGAGCCCACGTGATCCTCTTAACTTTCACAAAAGAGAGATCAAAAGAGAGTGAGCAATGTAAAAAAACACAAGGGTGCATTGACAATATCTTACCAAGAGGGGTTCCACAGCAGAGGCTTCTATCATCAATATGATTGACATCAAGACCGATCAGCCAAGAACCAAGGGACACATCCTCATTGGCATATCTGTGTAGTACATCCCTAAAGCATAAAAAAATTAAAATTAAAATAAAAAAAAGTTTGAAAATCTGTCACCTACACTCTACACAAATTAGAGAGAAGATAAACAATAAAAGAACCTACTTATTAGCTGAAATATAGGTGGCTAAGTCTTTTGAAATTGCATATATTTGGCCTGAGGCGTGTCTGAAATATTTGTTCCCTTCTTCGCCAAACTTCCAGAACTCTGGTTCATGGTACTTGACCCCCCTGCAAAAAGCAGCAGTAAACCCTTAGTCCAAGTTCTTCAAGAAACTAGGAGAGACGGAAACCTTAATTTTTCTCACTTTTGGGACAGGACAAATCCAGATTTCATACAGCCTATGTAAACATGGGACTTTAACCTCTGGCGTGCCAGTGCAGAAACCACCATACCTGACACAAACAACACGTTATACTGCGTAGTAAATCTTTACAAATTAACACATACATCCCATTATCCCAACAGATAGAATTCAGTGAAGATATGGGGATACTAACCAAGATTGACATGCACATCATCATCGACTTTAACGTAGAAGTCAGCATCCCACTTTGCAACAGCTGTTGAAAAGTAAATTTTAGTTTTTGAAGACAATTCATGATATCCCTCTGCATGGTCCTGCAATATAGCAAATTCCCATTTAGGTAAGCTCTTCCAAACCATGGATAAGATATAATAGTGTTATCGCCGACATTACAAGAACATAGGGGAATATATCTTAGTATTCTTATTTTAATTTGCAAATACTATACTAAGTTCAATATAGCATATCAACCAATACCAAATTACTTCCTGAGGATGTTATATTCAGTGCATCAAAGTCTTTGTAGGTTTCAACAAGTTCTAGTCAAACCCCAAGGATGCCTATGAAATGGTATTCAGACAATAAAATGGCATTAAAAAAATTGATATGATTTTGCACGAGACCTGTGTGAAATATGGATTTAGAGACATAATGTCCCCCTAGATGGGAATATGGATTTTGCACGAGACCTGTGTGAAATATGGATTTAGGATAACTTTCAACATATTAACTAGACCATACAAATGTGAAATATGTCACTAACTCCTTGTCTCATAGAAATTTTTTACTCAGACAGGTGTGTAAAAGATTGACTTTTTAAACAAGAGACTGAGCATATATATCAATCAATCAATCAATCAAAGCCCTAATCCCATAAGTGGGGTCGGCTAGTGATTATTCCGTATGACATCCACATTGAGCGTAAATAGCAAGGATATAAATTCTGCATAACTTATCCACACGCCTTACTTACCAATCGAAAAAAATCTTTATATTGAGCTTCTTCTGCGTCAAGGACCCGATCTAGAACTCCGCCAGGGCTAGAACTGAAACAAGGATAAAAACAACAGATACATTCAAGCATGTATCTTACTAATATAGTAAAATATAATCAAGAGTCCTAGACAAGTAAATTACGGTTATAACTATACCTGTGTCCTATAACAAATCGCACAACAATACCTTTCTCTTTTTCCAACTTTTTTAACTGCTCGCCTGTTGAAAAAGAAAGAAATTTACAAGACATAAGACTTTTCCTAATGAAGAATTTGATGACCAGCATAGTCAAAATTCAAACGAACCTTGCGGCATCCAGGTTTCTCTTATTGATTTCCTGCGTTTTCTGCTGCTAAATGCAGTCATAATTCCCATAAAAAAGAAAATCTTGGGACGGTCTTTTTGTTGCTCAATTCCTTTTGTTGTAGTAGTTGGAGTTGAGACTTCATCGTGATCTTTGGAAGCTCTTGCTGCAGCCAGCTGCATCTCTAAAGAGGACATGGATTTGTCCAGTTTCCTGTACATGTAGCAATGTTAGCAACAAAGCATCAATACTAGTTCATTTGATATGTTTAACCCATATAAAAGAGGACTCTTGAATAGTATAGGAAGGCATCACAATTGCTGTAGAAAGTTACATGATTACGTTGTGCGTATGAGAAACTTGAGAAAAGATGTCCCTGGCTTGTAAAGATGCTTCCTGTTCCTGTATGTGCAAAAGTAAAGTTATACACACACATACAAAGTTGGAGAAAATGCAGTGTTCATGTCATCAATTCAACTTGCCTTGTTCCCACAGTTTATGAGCGGTTGATTTTGAATCTCATTCTGCTTCGGCAGCAAAGACCTGCTTTCCACAGTTACTGATTCAGGAATAGCCTGGAACCTATGGATAAGTCAGCAGACAAGCAAATTGCATTTGAAAAAAATAGCTGGAGATACAGTCAGCAGACAAGTCTACAATTTAAATGTGGTCAAAGGATATCATGGACAATGGCCTAGGACCATACTAGTCTGTCTACTCAAGTGGCTCCTTGGAAAGAGACAGACCCAACGTCCTACAACATAAAAGATAGTACCAACAAGAAAATATGAGCGAACACAATTGGGCCGATTCACAAGGGAGTTTCATGTGCTTTCCTTAGATAGCCTGATCCCAAAAGGGGTGCAAGCTTTGTCAAACTCTCAAACACAAAAAAAATACAAGCCTGTTTTCCAATAAGAAAAGAAGATATATATTAACAGATTTTTAAGCCTCACAAAATGACTGACCTTCATTATACGAGATGTCAAATTCTGAACACATAGACTTATATTATTTGAGTTCCTCTTGCTCATATATAAATATTTATCTACTTCAATATCCCAAAAACCAACATATCTCATGCTAGGAATTTGTGTCATTCCACAACGGCAGCATCACCCGCTGCCCCCACCAATTTGTCTCCCTCAGAATAACAAGACCTAAGAATCAACTCGGCTCATTAATATGCAATTCCTTCCACTTCCATAACTACACTGAAGTGCTAATTGTGCGCCTATTGCTAATATTGCATACACAATACAAATAAATTGAACCCACATACTCTGTCTTCCTTTCATAGCTGATTGATCAAGAGGAATCTCAATACATTTCAAAAGGATTTTTACACAAAAGTGGTTGGACGCATGAATAATGAATTACAAGCATAGATAAATTATGAGTAGGTGGGGATATCAAAACATAATTTTGATGACTTGGTAGAAAAACACAAGGCTATATAGGTTCTTAGTTTTATAGTGCACGACTGCACGCAAAGAGGACTGTGAGATCACTATTCTCCTGTGGCTAAAAAGAATACAGTCAATCAGTTGCACAAGACTGGTAATCCTACCAGATGGACAAAAGGACAAATAAAGCCATTCTGTGGCATTGTATTTTGCACTAGAAGATGTATGAATGGAACTTCTTCAAAGGTTACTTGGTATAGGAGTTAATGTGATGTCTCAAGATAGGGTCTTAACCAAACAGCACCCCTCATATCCTGTAAGGCTCTAAGGCCTTGCCTCCAACCAGAAAAGTCTACTATTCAAAAATCCCCCAGACAATGACTAGCAAAGTATCTACAGCCTTTATGGCTTTATATCAATGGATCATGCAATCCAAGAAAAACTATTTCTTTTTTCAAGTAAATGGAAGGGAAGCACCATTGAGGTAGTGTTGGTTTGTATAGATTAAGAATTGTGATCTCATACAAGCCTTCTTATCAGCAACGGCCATTTGGATACTTTTAAATTAGGAAATAAAGAGATCGGCTCAAAAGATTTTTATACCACAAAACCCATGATTTTAGCATGACAAATGCAAAGCCATTATAACTTCCCATGGATCCTCAGTTTCTCACTTCAATCTAACAGAAGCATGAAATCCTTTACCCGGAGCTACAGCTTATCAAAGTCTCATTTGCCTTATTTGGCAAGCTAACTACTTCATCTTTATTAGTACTACAAATGGATTGCATTTGCAAATATATATGCTCACACAACCGTACATCCAACCACAGTACACTTGCAAGAAGCAAAATGAGTTCTTGTACATGTTGCTGCAGCTTCTGGACAATAAATTTGGATGTCTAGAATAGCTTATGACAATCATGATTGATTTCAGGCTGTCTAATGTCCATAATACCAAGTTACCAACCACAGGCTTTTAAACCTCGGCCACTTTCATGTACTTAGTAACAAAAAACAAGCAGTTGCTGAACCAACAGCATAATCTGAATATAGAGCCATGTCTATTGCGGCCAATACTAGTTTTCTGTAAGACAGCGAAATTTTAGTACTAATCACTTAGTGCATGATATAATTTATACGAGCAAATTGATGCATCATAGGCTCATAGAGTTCATATAGTCATTTCAAGAGTTTTTATCAAGGCTTTTAGTTATTCTAGTTTCCTAATGCATGCTAGTTTCCTATAATGTGTCAGATTCCTGTTAATCCAAAAACTTTTGCTAGTTTATACAACCACCGTTACATATTTGTTGCAACTTTAAAATATTTTATGTCTCACAAATAATACACCAAAGGTATATATCGCCAATATGATAAAACATTATTTTGCCTTGATCTTACCCTATTAAAGTCCATGTTCTTTTTCATCTAAAAATTTCCAAACGTTAACTGAACTTATTAAACCTTACCTCCAGTTACCGAAGTTCTACTTGTATCATGAATAGAACTCGGTAACATGTACGCAAACTTATCTGAACGTATTAGACAAAAAGTTAAACTACTCATATTATTTACTCAGAAACGAACACAACCTAAATTAATATAGATTCATTTTCCATTTCCAATATTTTAGCAGGAAACAACAGCAATCTAAATTTAGATTAATTTAATCCACACCAAAATACATCATTAATGAAGCTTCATTACGCTTCTAGAATCACGACATTCTACTGTACAACAATTAAAATAAATCAAATGACAAATATAGAAATGTAATCCTCAAACAAAACAAAAAATCTACAAATTTTTTAATAATTCCGAATAATTAAATAAAAATTGCAAAATCGAGAAGAAAAGGAAAGAGAATTTCACCTGTTGACGACAAGAACGCCGCATAAGAAGCTAGCGATGCAGAAGAAAGTGACGCATCGAGCAGAAACTCCATTACTGAATTTGTGAGGTTTAATGCCTCCCATTTTACGTATTTTTTGTTTCGCAAAATTGTTGAATACATTCAAATTATGAACAAATTTCCGCTTTTAATGAAGAGTTTGTTCAACAAATGCTCTATAAAATTGGCAGGGAATTTGATAGAATTAAGAAAGAAATTTGGTTGAAAATCTGAAATGTAGATCTAATCTAACAGAAATATGAAATAATACGAGTAATAATGTTGGTAGATTGTAACAATGGTTAGTGTAAAGGTGATGAAATGCAGCCGAGAATCAGTGAATTGTTCCAAGTGTTATTATTGACGTATGAAGAGCGAGGACTGAGAAGTCAGGAATAGGTTGGGTTGATTTGTTTGTCTGTGTGCTATATAGACAGAGGGTTGGCTCCAATTATATGTTGTCCAATATTTTTTCAAATTTTAAATTTGATTTCCGTGCGGTGATCTACTAAGGTTTAGTATGGCTTATGAGGTGATCAAGGTTCAGATTTTCAATTGAATAAAGAATAGGAGTACTATGTATGTGTCAATCAAATGATAAATTTGATAAATTTATCATTTGATTGACGCACTTGGTAGGGAGGTCTCGTGTTCGATCCCCCGCAACAACAATCGGGAGAGGACTGGAACCTAACCACCCAGAACTGATCCCGAATTCGGATTAGCCCTAAGGGTGAACTGGGTGGGACACAAAAAAAAAATTTGATAAATTAAAAAAACTTTTTATCAAATAATTTGATAATTTTAGTAATGTACAATTTACAAGTATGAGGCATATGCGCACATTTGATGAAAAGTTGTTGATTTAATTATAAGAGCATTACTTGATTTGCATTTTTTGTTAATCATGGTAATAAGTTTGGATTTTCTTGTAAGGTTGGATCATTCGATTTCAAATACATTTCAATGCTGATCAGGCTAGATTTGTTCGACTGAGTCATTATGGACATCCAATCTATCATGCAGTGGATTCATGTGGGTTTAATTTCTAAGTCATTCGATTTCAAATACAAATTGGTAATAAAAGTAATAGTTGTATTTGGTTTTCTTTTCTATCAATGAATCGAACACTAAATAACAAATTAACATCAAAGATGTTCGACACATGGTTAAAATTGACACAACACGTATAATTAAATGACCAGGTTAGTGTTGAGGTTTCAAAATCCATTTATGACAAGTTTGCCAGTTTTGAGTCAAAGAGTTATGCTAATGAGTTGAGATCATTTCAAGCTCGACACTCGTGAGCTAGCTCAAGCTCCAAGCTCGTTGAGCCTAAGAAATTGAGCTCAAAAGCCTGTAGGTATAACTCAGCTTAGGACTCAATTAACAAATATTCGATCTACTCTGAAATTATTTATAAAAATTGATATTAATATAAAAAAACCGAGCTGAGCCAAGAATAGATTGCATTTGGCTTGTCAAGATCTCAAGTTGAATCCGAATTTGAGTCAAGTCTGCTTGAGCTGTTCTTTGAATGACCAAGATAAGCATTAAGCAATTTCTGAGCAGACTCGGCTCATTGACACCTTAGGTAGAACCTGTTTACTTCAGTTTGATTTCAATTCAGCTTCTAATTTCCTTCTCTTATAAAATATTCAGTTCAGCTCCAATCAGTTCAATTCACTTTAGTAAATATGAATAGTCCGTAGTAGGTATGCTAACCGAGTGCATTAGAAATTAAACTTACTCCAAAAACGACATCGTTTTGGTAACTAATCCAATACAACCATCATCCAAATCGCAAAACAAAAGTAGAGGATAGGCGTCACCCCACAATCCCTTCATCTCTCTCCTCACTCCAACACTTGTTCACCAATTCGAGCTCTGTAACAACCAACAATGGCGCAACCTCTATCAGCCTACCACTACCACCATGCCGCAGTTGCACCATCTTCTTCCTCCATTACTTCCCCAAAACTCAGAAAACTCTCTTCCTCTCTCCTCACTCCTTCTTCCCTAAGCTTATCCTCTAACCCCAGAAACTCCCTTCAATTTTTCAACAACAAACTCTTCCTTTCTTCTCCTTCTTCTTCTTCTCACCGCCGTCTTTCCATTGTTGCCATGGCTCCCAAACCCGGTGGCAAAGCTAAAAAGGGTATGTCCAAATTTCAATTATTCATCTTCTTATATCCTAATTTTATACTACTCTATGTTATACTTGTTCCGTTCTTTAATTATCGCAACAATTTGACTTTTATATAATCTTGATGAATTGGGAAATGTGAAATTAAATTGTGGATTTTGTTTGATTTTGGATGTTTGTAATAGTGATTGGAGTGATAAAGCTTGCGTTAGAGGCTGGAAAGGCGACACCAGCGCCACCAGTGGGACCAGCGTTGGGTTCAAAGGGTGTGAATATAATGGCATTTTGCAAGGATTATAATGCTAGAACTGCTGATAAACCTGGATTTGTTATTCCTGTTGAGATCACTGTTTTTGATGTTAGCACCCCTCTTTTCCTTTTAATTGGGTTTTCCATAATTGCTTAAACTTTGTTGTATATTGTGTTAATTTTGATTTGAATTTGGTTGATTACAGGATAAAAGTTTTACTTTCATTTTGAAGACTCCACCTGCTTCTGTTCTTCTTCGGAAGGCTGCAGGTATATGTCTATTTTTATCCTATCTTTAAAGTGATTGGCAGAGTTGTAGTTGTATTAAAAAGTGATTGAGTACTATTAAGTTAATATTATGAACTATGAGGTGGAAAAGCTTATATAATAATGACCGGCAGGGGGAAACCTCGAGTTAACTATAACAGTGACTGATAAGGTGTTAATCCAACATGAATTATGTGATAGACACTTTTGGAATATTTGGTAGCTTCGCCCTTGAATGATGGAAGTATAAGGAATGGAGGGAATATTGAATTGATTGGCATGATTGCCTGACTAATAAGGCTTAAGATAAGGCTTGCTTGGAACTATATAAAAAAAAAAAAAAAAACTGCATAGGATTTTGAGGCCATTGTTACCTTGTAGGCATTGCTCACCAGTTGGCTAGTTGCCAGGATTGTAGTTCAGTTCATTTTTATTTCTAGAACTTTGAGAAAGTATGCAACTCCAACACTTGGGTTTGATTTTTTCCTTTGTACATATATGGGGCACCATCCTAGTAAATCCTACCTATATTTTTCTAGCCTAGCCATAGTGTCAAACTCTTCTAAGGGATGAACCTACTGAGAGGGGGTGTGGGTGTTCAGGTGAGACAGTAGTACAGCAGTAGGTGATATGCTGGTATGAGTTGAGCTTTCTTACTCTCTGCATGCGTAGAAATTCTATGCTATCCTTTGGTCTTGAACTAGGATCACTGATATCTCACTATCCTGTTGAACAATCAATATGAATGGCTTTCTTATTTATAGTTCACACTTCACAGTGTTGCTATGCTAGTGTCATTAGCAGCAGATATGTAGATTGTCTGTAGTGGTGTCATTGCTCTGGTTTGACTTGGACAAGAGTATATTGAGTTACTACTTAGGTTTGTTTGCTTGGAACAAATTATTATTATTCTTATTATTTTAAATGTTCAAGGAGTGAAAACTTTATCCACATCCCTAACCTTCTTAATATTTTCGTCTTCTCCAGTTTCCTTTTCCCTTTTTGCTCTAATTTTTTTTTTGGTAAGGAATCAAAGAATGGTGAGGTTTGAAAACCAATTTCATTTGAAATGTGCTTTCCGTAGAGTACTCCATAAGTTTATGTTGAATCTTGATAGTACTTTACTACTTTCCTCCTGAACCGACCCTAGTATGCTTGGTCTGTTAGTCTGTTTGCTGCTTTCTCAGAACTGTTATTTCCCCCTTTCTTATGGATTTTGGGGTTATGCTAGGTGGGGAGGGCAAGTGCAGTGTGGAGGGGATTGGGTTTTAGTACTTTAATATCCGACCTAAAAGCATTGAAGTTGCAGTTTCCTTCTGTGAGGGTCCATCACGCATCTCATTTTCGGACAGCAGCTCATTGGTTTCTCTGAGTGCATTACTGCATTTGCATTATAAATCTTATAACATGATCTGTTTTTTTCTTGTCATGGAAATTGGTGGATATTGGGCCTAATTTTTCGGAGATGATGTATAAATTTTCATAGTTCAAAACCATGAATACAGTAATTACTAATTAGGTTAAGCATACATTCCCAATCAATATTTGCCAAACTTTTACTTGTCATATGGCATTCTAACCTGTAGAGCTCCTTCCTATCCTTGCCTAACTTTTAGATGATAGAACATGCAATTTACTTGATCGAACGAAGACCCAGGATGACAAATATCTTGAAACACCTTAGTGTTTTAAAAGCGCAATTGTGCAAAGCTGTAGTTATGTTAGCTTTTGTATCTTGTCTCATTGGATTATGAACATGAGAATGATGAGATAATGACATTTTGAGCTGTTGAGGACTGGGAAGCCCTAAGTTTGGGCTTCAAATGTTGGTTCTTTTGTTGTGTTTTAGTGACTAGATAATGATCCATTAATTACATCAGCATTAACTCGTTAAAAGGCTGTTTAACCATGATAATTGTCAACGCAGGTGTTGAAAAGGGATCAAAGGATCCAATGAGAGAAAAGGTGGGGAAGATCACAATTGACCAACTACGACAAATTGCCAATGAAAAGTTGCCTGACTTGAATTGCTCAAACGTTGAATCAGCAATGAGAATTATAGCAGGAACTGCTGCTAACATGGGAATTGACATCGACCCTCCTGTCCTAGAAAAGAAGAAGAAAGAAGTAATCCTCTAAGCAATTTTGTTTCCCTACTCTTTCTTGTAGTCAATCTATATAGGCTGTTTAAATGTTCTTTGTGATCGATTTTTTAAAGATGTTGTGTAACTCGGACTTACTACTCTGTTCAAATTTTAATATAGTCTGCCAATTGTAATTGCTCATTCTTCTCTTGCTTGGCGAGGTTGATTTCTTTTCTACTCCATAGGATTTAAAACTAAAAACTGTTAAAACAAAGGTTATCTACAGGTTTGTCTTGATTTCCCTTTTTACTACAAACGATACCGAAAGAAGATTATAACATACTTTTTACAAGAATTGGTCATATTCTGGCATCGTTTAGATCAACACAATATGTCATATTTACGCGTACTTCATCATATAGCAATGAAGGATCCTACTCATCGAGATAAGATTGAGTAGAGCAACTTGTAGAATAATGACAAATCCAGTCGGTTTATAGTTTTGACTAACATGCAAAATGCCGTTAATTCAGCCACTATGGTCTTCATTAATACGCAAGGAGTATACGTTTGCAAATAGCAAATGTTGATTACGATTTAGCTGGTAATTAAATGTCATTTCGGTACAATGAGATAGATGAAGTCATCCACCGACTAACTAATTTGCCACATGATTACCTTCTTATTAGACATACTTCGTAGAACTTTTGGACGTCTCTAGCTAGGGGGTCCTAGGGCGGTGCTAATTGAGCAAGTCGATCCTGAAATGAGGGGTGTTCAAATTGACTTACAAACTTTTTACATGTACTTGACTTGTACTTGATACTCACTAAGCTCAATATTAGCTTGGTTGACTCATGCTTGTTAAACTTTTGAGTCAAGTCGAGTACTCGAGTAGCTTATTATCTATTCATTAAAGTTTTGGACCTTCTAAAATTCTAAATTTTGTTTTATTTTTTATTTTCTGTCACTTTTTAAAAGATTTTATTTTATTATTATTAGGAATTTACTCTTTTTCCTCATTATTAATTTACTCTTATTACGCCAAATTGTTTAACAAAATGGTACAAGTAGCAACTTTATTATTGATTTACTTATGAGTTTATTGAATGGAGTAAAAGTTTGCTTAACCCATGCTTATTAATATTTCGAGTCAAGTTTAGATGCTCGTTAGCTACCCAACTCGAATAGCAGTATAGCACCCACACCCTACAATTAATATTGCATTTTTTGTGTCCTCGAATATTCTAAAAACCATACCCCCATGATCCCATCCTACTAGTAGCATCCAAACCGATAGTCATGTGAATTGTAATATGACTACGACAACTAAATTAAGAGCAACAAAAGATTTAATATTCCCCTAACAAATCACATTGCTAGAATCCACAAGAAAGACGTTTTCTTAAAATATTTGATCATCGCACGAAGTTGAATTGAGCCATACATGACACACACAAACTCTCCATGATCTTGACCAGATTTTAGGAAGGTGGGGACAGCAAGACGAGCCAACGCGTCCTGCCATCTCAATTCTATAACGTTGACCATCCCTTTTTCCAATTTGTTTCTTTTCACACACTAATTATTATTTTTTATTTCATTCAAATTATTAATTAAAAAATTAAGTTCTAACCTTTTAAAAACCCCTCAAAATTAGGACATAATCAAGAATTCTGTAGATCTCCGTCTTTTCTGTCTTCTTTCATTGCTTTAACTCTCATTTTCTGCTACTTCGCTCATTTTTCTGGGTATGTTTCTCGTGTTCTTTTATATTTCTTTTCTGGGTGCAAATTTGTAATGTTCTTGCTTGCATTTTGTTTTATTACATTTTTTATTCCACTTGTCATTTGTTGCTTTTTATCTATTGTAATAATTTCTGGGTTTTGCTTTTTGCTTGATTTTGTCTTTGATTGTGTTTGAAAATTATTCTAATTAGTACGAGGTTTCATTTTTATGGTGGGGTTGTAATGTTCTTCATTGTTAAAATGTTAATTAGACTAATTTACCTATTAATTTCTTGCTTATTTGTATAAATTAATCAAGGGTTCTGGTTTAATCTGAACAAATTGGGAGATGTATTAATACATTGTTGATTTGGATCTTAATTATCAACATGAAATAGTAATTAGTCACAAAAATCACATGCATGATGAAGATGAAATGCTCCTCCATTTCGAAATAATGTGCTAAACACGATTTTATAACAACTTTGACCTCGCATTTTCATCAATGTACATTTGTATAAATGGTATCTATAGATATGATTTCATCGAAAAGATCGTTTGAACAATGTAGGTCAACAAATACTATGAATAAATTAATAGTCAAAATTAGACGAATATTCGAATGTTGCCTGGAATTAAGAGTGGCATTTGCTGCCATCTCCTGATCCTGTGGTTGCTGAATCGATGCTCGTGGGGGGTGGGACGTAGGGCGGATATAGAGGGGCAGTAACTAAGGCATTGTTATAGGCTGCCAGGCTGAATGTGGCCAAGTTATGGTGATTTGCATCCTATGTGCCCTTACCAAAAAGATTGCAATAAGGTCTTAGGTCCTACTCTAGATGAAAGAGTTTATATGCTTTAATTAGCTCAATTCATAAGAATCTATGGTTTATAATAGGTAGTCAATCACTTGCATTGAATTCTATGTTATTGTGGCCATTTGGAATTTAATTGAGGAAAGCAATGGGATCTTAGGGTTCTTCTGTTATGGAAGACTTGCTTTTCTTTTCCCTTGAGTCCTAACGCGATTGGATGGTTCAAACCATGTCCATTTTTGCCATTCTATCTCCTTTGACAATTTTTGAATAGTTTTTGGGTTGTTTTTGCTTATACTTGTTCTAAAACATGATTAATGTGTTATCATGATGTACTTATTCATTTTGTTACTTATATTCCAGAAATATGGCTAAAATGAATGGTGTTGAGGAGATAAATGGTGTTGCTGATCAATTTAATGAAATGCGTCGTCCAACTCCAAAATTGAACCAGAGAATCATTTCTTCAATGTCAAGGAGATCTGTTGCTGCCCATCCTTGGCATGATCTCGAGATTGGTATGTATCTCGATATGTTTTTTTCCCCAATTGTTCTGTCTATTATCTTCAAATGTAATTAATTGGTTTTACATGTTTGTTTACCAGGACCCGATGCCCCTGAAATTTTTAACTGTGTAAGTAGTCATCTGCTTCTGCTCTGTTTGCAGAACTTCCTCTTAATGCTTGGCTTAAATCCTTGATTGTGTTTGATCTGGCAATTTCTGCTTGCAAATGTAACAAAGAACTTGTGAAACCTTCTATTGCAGGTTGTTGAAATTAGTAAAGGAAGCAAAGTCAAGTACGAGCTTGACAAGAAGACTGGGCTTATCAAGGTGAGTTCATTTTATCACTCTTACTCTTTACGTGTCATTTCTCTTGCTGTTACGCGAAGGATAAAAATCAATGATAAGATACTTTTTTTGCTGGAATATATGTTTCAAGTTTTATTATACGGAGTACTTGTCTATGGTAGCAATTAGGAGTAGTTTGTATTTATTCCCTCATTCCCAGAGTATTAAATGTTTCTTCTTTTTCAGGTTGATAGAATTTTGTACTCGTCTGTGGTCTATCCTCACAACTATGGATTTATTCCACGTACATTGTGCGAAGATGGTGATCCCATGGATGTGTTGGTGCTTATGCAGGTAATGTCACTGAAGATAGTATGCATTATAGGTGTATTTCTGGCTGCAATATCACTGCTTTATGTGGGATGAGAAAAGAATTATAAAAGTTTACTACAAAGGCTGAATTATATGTCATATTTTCCAGGAACCAGTTGTCCCAGGTTGCTTTCTCCGAGCCCGTGCCATTGGTCTGATGCCTATGATTGATCAGGTTCTAAAAGGGTTATTATTATGCTTAAATGTATAAAGATTTGTCATGGCTGTTACTTGAGTTTAATGTTGATAAATTTTGCTCTATCCCTTGAACAGGGTGAGAAAGATGATAAGATAATTGCAGTTTGTGCTGATGATCCTGAAGTGCGCCACTACACTGACATCAACCAACTTCCTCCTCATCGTTTGGCTGAGATCAGACGCTTTTTTGAGGACTGTATCCTTACCAATTATTTTGTTAATAAGCTGATGACTTTGATTAAACTTCTAATATATCTGTAGAATTTTAAATTCTTTTTTAAAACTTTCACAACGCAACATAGCTTTTTCTTAACGGGTTTTTAGACAAGAAAAACGAGAACAAAGAAGTTGCTGTGAACGAATTTTTGCCACCCCAAGTTGCTCATGATGCCATCCAGCATTCCATGTAAGGAATACTGTACATGTTATCAAACTTCCGTAGCTTGTTCTCTTGCCAATAAACTCTAATGGCCTAACATCTTTTTTTTAATGCTATTTCAGGGATCTTTATGCAGAATACATTCTACAGACACTGAGGAGATGATTGTCAGTTAGATTTTTTTGCCAGCCATATTCTGAAGTAATATTGAAGGACTTTGGCTACAAAATCACATGACTCTAGATGCTACATATTGGAGAGTGTTCAAAAAAAAAAAAAAAAAAAAGATTTTTTTTATTTGTTCTTATGTATTGATTTATTTTTCTAGCTGACGTTGTAGTAAGCTTCAGCAAGCTTCATGAACTTGGAAGTTTTGTTTCTTAGATCATGTTTGTTTTTGGATGCTACTGTAATGCTGCTCAACAGGATTTTCTTCCATTTTAACTCTGTAATTCAGTTGATAAACTTGAATGAAACTTCAGAGAAGATTTGTTTTTTAAGGCTATGTTCTGGATTGAGGTCATTCACACCAAACTCTGAGCCAAGTTTTGCATTTTAAATTTTGTGAATCATATATGTTGTATCGTGGTCACACCGAGTCTCCATTAATCCCCTGTGATCGTTCACAAGATTCTCCATTAATCCCCTGTGATCGTCCAGAACTTACTTCGTTCAAGTGAAATATGGCCTCTCTCAGCCTCAAGTCTCCAACATACCAACTCTTCACTTTCCTTGATGGTGCGTCTTTCATCTATTTTCGCCCCTCACAAAGTTTCAAACCATCTCAACATGAGAAATTCTAACTACACTAATATTCTTTAGACCAAGAAAAAAAAGTAGGGAATGGAAAAATATAGTTACCCCATTCGGCCATCTCTTTTCCCCCTATAACTTTGTCTAAACTCTCAAGAACTACACTTTTGGTGTCGTTCCTTCCCCTATGAATCTTTTCTCCCTTTGACAAACCCAAATATAAATTTGAAAAAGGAAAGGCTAAATTTGATTGTTATCATAGGAAGACCATATTTCCGTGTGGTTTATAAGATAATGCATGAGTTCAGACAATATGGACTTAGGTTGAAGGAGAGCACAATGACCAAAAGTTGTGCCCATGGCCCCACGGTTCTCATCCGATGCCAGGGGGTGGTGGAGGACCACATCACCTGCCAGAGGCGGAAGAAGGCTTCAATGCCCTTAACTACCATGTAGGGAACAAGTTTCCTACCCATGACTCCATGAGGCTGCCATGTATGGTGTATACAGAAGCTGCAGGTAACTCAGGCAGCTTTAACAGAAAGATGACGATAGGCTGTTAGCTTATGAAGAATAAGAAACTGAGAGATGAAGTTTTTTACTACTAAGCTGCTTTTAGACATTATATCTGAAATTTAACAATACAAACATCCCTGAAATATGTGGTATTAAAATCACTACATTCACATCCCTCCGTTCATTCTGGTAAAGCATACAATACATGGCTCTCCATAGAATTCAGTCAAAATTGTAGACAGAAATTTCCTTTCTCAACCTATAAAAGCTTATTAGAAGTCCTGACTGAGTAGAATAAATCATAACTTGGAGTTCTTTCATACCGCAGAATATGAGCACAATTGACAATTGGCATGCATGGTACCACAATGTTCATGCTCAAAGTTTCAAAACATAATTTGACAAAAGCTAAGTAATACTCAGTAATAGAGTTATTTATGGACTTGAAAAATTGCATTGCTATGAGATGATCATTAAATTTGCAACATCAGTATTTTTTAAATGAAATCTATTCAAAGCATAGTGTATAACTTGCATTCAGCTCAGCATCCCTCAAAACTATCGTTGTTGGCTAAAGAGAGCTTTGCTAATTATACCAGTAGCCTCAATATACCGATCCACACATCTTGAAATACAGCTGCTCTCACTTCCACTTAAACTTGACCCAGGTTTTGTTATGCACTTCTCGAAGCACTTCCCCCTGACAGTCTGTAGACATAAGAAATATTTAGGTAAAAAATCAATGCATGCATTACGAAACCTGTTCTTCTAGTTTTCCATCTTACATATCATAAATACCACAAACATAGCATAACTGTTATTTTTTTCTTTGAAATCTGTCATTACCTCACAAAAGAAAACCCCAATGCAGTACAAGCGACCATCAAGCTACATTAAGCTTTTCATGTAATGATCAGATGAAAATGGTCTCAATTCTTATGATTCAAATTATACTCTTACAATTTTGGAAGAAACTAGAAGTAAAAAAGAAACACCATATAATACAACATTTTTACTTAACTAAGGGAGCATAGTGTGAACTTTAAAACGTAGTATATACTCTGTATTACAATTTGCTTACATAAAAAGCATTCAACAAAAAAATCATAGCCATATTGTGTCATCCCTTCTTCACAGTTAACCAATTTAATTATATTTTTTAATAAAATAAATAAAAATTCATAATAAAATTTGATATTACAGACATTTTTTTAATCTACTCTGCATCACTCAACTCAAACAAGACCTTGAAAAATTCCAATTAGGGAAACCATAATCTAAAACTACTCCCTCCGTCCCTAAATTACATTCCTCTTTCTCTCTATTATGTGAGGAATAAATGTTAGAAAGAGGAATGTAATTTAGGAACGGAGGGAGTACTTATTTTTATAGATATTGAGAAATGCAGATGTCATTCAAATAGGCCTATACAAGACTACATCAATAATAAAAGGTTAACGTTGTGAACATTTAGAGTCCACCAAAACTTCCTTCTGAAGTACTAATATTGGGGGATATTGCTATATTTCAATATGTATGAAGTGTACGGATGGTGGGAACGTGTAATAACAAAACCACATGAGAACCAGAGTATAGCCATGAGAAAACTAACCTAATACCATCAAACTAGTGTATAATTGAGAAGTAAAATCATAACAAAAACACAAATTATTGCATTCTCCTGCAATAATTTCACAGCCTCACAGGGACTACATAGTATTCCCAATAGCAAGAAATGCTAAAATGTTTCATCCCCTGCAGCCACATCTTTTCTCTCACTCTCTCCTTCCCGACACACATCTCCTCCACCTTCCCTCTTCCCATCCTCTATTTTATTTGTTTGACAAAAGAAAAACTAAGCTTTAAAATCGATATATGTACAAGACTACGAGAGTACGAGTGCACTCTCTCCATTCAATGACTCCAAACCGGACATTGTTGAATCATTCATATACAAATACATACGGATCCTTCAAATTTGTCGAACTATTCTTACGCTCTCCTCATTACTCAATCTTAAGAAGGATTTCTAATCGTAAACCCTAACTGTCTCCGAACATTCTAAACTAGAATAGACTACAATTTCCAGACCGGTGAGCTAATTTTCAAATTTCAATAGAATTTTGGGTTCAGTTCAGTATTTTCCTTCAAACTAAATCATCAAAGTACCAAAATTTTCCCTAATTCCTCAAATTTACAAGTTTTCAACAACATCTATAATAAATAAAAAAACCAACACATTATTCAATTCAATACATCTCAACTCCAATTAATGTAATCGCAACACTTATGAATCATTTTCATAGCAAGTTCAACAATAATCAATAGTTCTAATTTCACTAATTTAAATGAATAATGTAGGATTCATTATACTTCAAACAAATCAATTTAAGTAAATAAATCAAATAAATTCCATTCATAAACCTGATTTATTACAATAAAATTTCGGAAAATACCTCAAGAAATTCTTCAGCGTAGGCTTGCGCGAGCTGATTTTTGACCTGATCCATAATAGCTTCAGGATTAGGTTGAGCAGCAGAAGATCCATTCGTGGAAGATCCAAATGAATCCATGATTTTCTCTCTCCTCCTTAATTCACCGGCGATTTTCTCTCTCTTATTTTCTTCAACTGATAAACCCTAGCTTAAACCTTCTACGGGTATATCGTTTTTCCCCTTTCGCAAGCTGGAAGCTAGATGGGCTGGGCTGGGCTGGGCTCTCTTCGGTTTTTTATGCCTTTGGACTTTTTATGACTCCTTTTTTGGTCCATTGTTTTTGTATTGTCCATACAAGTAAAACTTTCACAATACTTCATTCCAAAAATATAGCGAGGGTATTTGGTGATGAGCTTATTTAGATATAATAATTAGATGATTTGGTCGAAGTTTAAAGGATCTTATTGAACTAGGATCTCTTATAGGTCACCGTTTTAGAGTAGGGGATAAGGGAATCTCCCTACTTCCAAGCATATGTATGTGGGGAATTCAACACCAATTCTACTAAACTTTCTTGGTACGAGTATAGGGTATTTCTAATGATGTCTATACTTCAGTAGTCAAATCCTACATCTTACGGGGTACTAGTTTTGTTATTTTCTCTCAATAGAATGAAAAAAAAATCATTAAACCATAATTCACAAAATTCGTTGGGCAAATAATGAGAGTCGATCCTAAGATTGCTTGAAATTGAGAAGGAAGTTTTGACCACCTGAACTATTTCTCACTCTCGGATTACATTAGATTATTAGATCAATCATAGTTCAAATACATAACAAAGTACATCTATCCAATACAAAATACATCAAAAGGCAATTACTATATAACCTTAGGCTTTGGTGGCCCAATACATAATCCCAAAACACATAGCCCATATAAACTCGTCACCTCAATTCAGGATTTCATATACTACGGGCATGTTCGGCAAAATATAGCTGTGAAGGTAGCTGTAGCTGTGGAGATAGATGTGAGCTGTGGAGATAGCTGTTAGTTGTCAACAAGCTGTAAGCTGTGAAAAAGATAATTTAGGTATGATTGTTCGGTAAAGTAGTGGTTGACTAGCTGTTACATTTAAGAATCAATATTTTATTTTTAAAACTATACATTAAATTTTCAAAAGCTACCTCTAATTTCAAAAGCTAATAATCCTAACTTTAAATAAAAGCTACTCCACCACTAAAAGCTACTTGAACCATTACTTTGCCAAACACTCACATTTTTTGTTGAGTAGTGGTTTGACTTGGTCAAACCACTAAAAGCTACTCAAAAGCTAGCGCTGAACACGCCCTACCTCTGGTTCTTATTACTTGCAACAAAGGGGTATTATTTGTGAGACATAAAATATTCATTTGTTGTGAGTAATAAGAACCAGAGGTAGTAGAAGTATAAGATGTGTTCGATACTTCGATTGAAGGTCTAGAATAAAGATATTATTATATGAGGGCACAAACAAACTATATGTTAGATATCTCGTTTATGGAGTAGTAAATAAAATAAGAAATTAATATCTAATTGAGGTTTTGGGAAGAACATGAGTAACTTGATTGTTGCAAGTCCAAAAAGTAAAACAAAAACAAGACTTAAACAATTATCATGCTTCTTCGCTGCCGGGAAGAAAAAGACAATTAATTAGAAATATAAAAATATAATACTTGCTAATACTATATTTCATAAAAAAAATATGACTAAATATTTGTTAATAACATGATTAAAGGTAGAGATTCCTATGATAGATTAGTTCAATAAAACATGGACGTCAGCCGTAACATGAGGCATGACGAACGCGATGTCTTAAGTTTTGTTAGGACCAATAATCAAAGTCATGTCTTGTTATTGGAAAAGGTTAGGCTAAAAGTTGAAACTTAAATAAATGACTACACTAATTTATAAATTTTTATACTCATTAATCTTTATTAAACTAGCTAATGTGAAAAGGATGTAATTGGACACGAGGATATGATAATATAACATTAGAAAATGAACATGAGGGGTTTATTCAAAGGAAGAACATAAGATTGACATCATTTACTTGTTAGTTACTTCAATTTTTTTGGCTCTTATTTGTTTGAGAAAATGTAATTTTTCATTGTTGGCACTAACAACTAACAAGTAGCATAGATAGATATATTTAGGGGATGTTAAATGAGTATGGCATCCGAAAATAGAATAAAAATGAAATGAGTATATATGACCAAAATAATAATAATAATAATAATAATATTATTATTATTATTATTTATTTATTTATTTATTTATTTATTTATTTATTTATTTTATTTTATTTTTTAATTTTAAGTCTTTATTGTTAAAGAGAACTAGCGTGTTAGAAGTTGAGCTCAATAGAGTACAATAAGACTTTAATTGCTTATTAGAATCAAGTTCAATACCTAGTATGCATGATTCATCATCTCGACACTTAAACCATATGGTATATTGAACCTACTTAAAATCAACACGATACAAGTCTAACACAACTTGACTTTTTTTTTTCCATGCACAACTCGCCAAAAAGGGTTGTTGACTTCACGTGTATGTGGACTTACACAACCCATACCTTGCCAACCTCAAAGTTTACTTATTAAAGTTTACGTCTAGACCCTTACCTCTTCTATCAAAAGTAACAACGACAAAGAAGTAACAATATACGACGTATGTTTTAACTCTAACTTAGAGTCAAAACGACCTTAGAGCTTACACAAAAGATATCATAACTCAAATAGAAAATTTCAAAAGCAATACTCAAGCTTGCCCTAGCTTTCATGATTCGTTTCCAACGCCCATTAGTTAACTTTACAATAATTTACCCAAATCTCAATCACTCGTTTAAGTAAAGACTTGAAAAAAAGAAAATGTGGATGTATGCTTGACCAAGTCATATATAAAAAGCTAGTTGGTCTGGCTGTGGAACACTTCAATTGCGACCCGGCATGTGGTAAACAATTGATAGGTACATATATTACATGGGTAATAGTGACACTTAATTTGACATTTATGTTGAGATTCTAAATGTTAACCTCTACTTGTACTATCAAATGATATATAGTCTAGAGATATAAATAAAAGCAATCCCATGTAATTTAAGTAATTATCAAAGAAATTGATATATGAATCACTTAAGCTACATGTACGATAATATATATTAGGCCTTTTAAGCACTAAAAGCTAGTCTGGCGACCTAATTCATAATCACTTCTATTATTTTTTGTCAATTTTTTAATTTTAGAGAGTTTAATACCCTCATAACTCATAATATTATAGTGAGATTTTTACTTGATATATAAATATTCCTTCTACGAATGTTCTAACTTACTTGAGATGAACTATATGTATGATTTACGGTTAGTTTGTCTCACAACACAAGTCGACAACTGTAATCTCGGGGTGTAAGGGTGTTTAGTGCATGGTATGCGCTCATACGAGTCACCTATGACACTTGATACACCATTTTCAACATCTAAAGATTCAGTGTTGTTTAATCTAGACAATTAATTGAAAATATTTAATAGAATCAATTGAAACTACATATCATTCATCTGAAAACCAAGCAATAGGGTTGCAAATAAATAAAGAGCGTAAAAAAGAATACTTGTGAAATCAAATACTTATTAATTATATTGATCAAGACATGACTTTGTAAATCATTCTTAAATTAATATTAATTGAAAAAACATAATAACCCTTTTTTTTTTTGTGTGTTTAGCTTAGAGAGCTATAAGGGTAGGGTGAGAATCGATCCCAAGATCTCTTGAAAGTGGGAGGAAAGCTCTAACCACTTGAGATATCCTGGCCTCCATTCTCAAAAACATAATAACCCTAATGTATTATTACCACATGCATCATTACCGTTATTCATATATTATATATCTCCATACAAGTATACAACTATTCAAGTGTAACTAATATTACGATAGTCAAATGTATACGTATGTATCTAATGTATTTATTTATGTAATATGTATGTATGTATGTATAATAGTGAGGTTGGTACAAATTATAGTACTGTAGTAGTTTGTTGAATTTTAATGTAGTCTAGAAACATTCCACAACTATAGAATAGTTAAAAATGTCTCAAAAATTTAAAGCATCTATCATAGAGACTTTAGTTTCTTTAATATACTGTTTCCCTCCATTTTATTCTTATATTTCGGCTGTGTTTACTGTGACTAGCAATAAATGAGCCGTAGTTGGAAGAGGAACTAGCGAGCAACGGAGCGTAACCAATTTTACTACCAGTACCATTCTCATGGACGGTCCGTCAGAAAGAGAGCGCAAGGAATTTTAATTTTATTTTTAATTTTCATCATCTGTTTTCTTTTTGTTGTACCGTATTGTTTTAGCTTGTATACTTGTACGGAGTATATGTAATTTGATATTTATCCATCTCTCCATTTGTTTACATTGATAGTATTGGAATCCTTTATACAGAGTATATTTTATTTCAAATATAATATAATCGAATTTTGTTTGACTTATAAAGCCGGATTGACTTAACTTAGGTGAGGTGCTCGATTTTTCAGTGTATTTCTCCTTAAGCCCTTACTTTATTGTAATAAAATCTCAATACAAATATATGATTAAATACAACTATTTCAAAATAATAATAATAATAATAATAATAATAATAATAATTGAAGTTGGCGGAGAACTCACCATGTGTCTTTGAGATCACAAGTTCTAATCTCCCTCTACTCTCAACAGTCTTAAGCGTTAACTTGAATTAAATAAGAACAACAAGAATAAATAATGGGAGTATGAAAAAGTTGATATTTTGAAGATATTACTACGTATATAAAGTTCATTCATTAGGACTATTGATCTAATAACTTTACCATATTAACATTTTCTTAAAAATAAACTCATGTATATATATTCGAAAGTTATAATATAATCGATCAAAATATAATTACTTATATAAATAATGCAAATTCTAAAACGTTACAATTAGTAAAGATTGGAAATATTACTTACTATTCTCAGTTTTTGCTTACTTTTCCCTTCTTAATGTTAGCTCTTGAAACGACTAACATCATTTTTGTTGTTTTCCACTTTATAAATTTACACTAAATTAGGAAAACTTAAAGTTAGGACACTTAAAACTGTAATGGCCCCCTCAATTGCCTCATGTAGCAAAAATAGAGTGGTCCGTACGAAATTAATGGGAATGAAGTCAAAGTCTAATCCCCTTAGTTGGTGAGAGCATGCATAATGCATATTCCATTATAATTATTTATATTTTATTTAATTTCAAATGTTTAATTTAATTTATCTTATAAATCCTTGAATACGTTTTCATTTTTTTAATTACTATTACTAGTAGGACCTAAAGAAAAAGAATCCCAACTTCCAAGTACGAAGTATATGTCATTTATTTCACTTATTTTATTTTTTGAGTTTTAAAAATATACATAGAATAAGAGAAAAGGTCCAAAATCAAAGTGGTGGAAACAAATTTGTTTACTATGTTCTAATCACCCATGTTGCATAAACTGGAAACAAGTATACTTTATTCATCCTACGCTAAACTACAAACATTATCGAAATTATAAACTTGTACTACATTAGATTAGTACAACTATCTTATTAATTACAGTCATTAGTATAATAAGTTTGAATTAAAAACTAACTAACACGCTGTCAGAATTTAAATATTCAATAAACATACAACTATCTAGCAAATATATGTTACATTATGAATACCACACTGCTAAGATATTTATAAATATATATACCTTTTTCCTTTTTTATTTCTCAGCTCATTTGCATTCTATAAATTGTACGAAGTATTATTGTCTACGCATCTAATTAACAAGATCACTTTATTTTAACTAGATTAAGTTATTAAAAATTAATGATTTATGAAAATGTAAATTAAATTGAATCTAAAAAGATTACTTTATTTTAACCAGATTAAGATTGAAGTATGTACTGAGCCTGAAATGAACTTATAAACCAAATCGAATTTAGGGTTTGTTCTCATTGACTGAACTCAGCTGAATTGAACTTATTAGAGCTGAACTGAATTGAATATTTTATAAGCGAAGGAAATTAGTAGTTGAACTGAAAATAATCGTATGAGAACAGATCCTTAATTTGACTTTACCTATTTAATCATCATATCTTATATAAATACAAAGTACTCCGTATTATATTAAAACTTACACTTTATTTTTTATTTTTTTAAAAAACAACCTGAAATCGACCAAACTCAGTCCTTGATCTTAATTGTCACCCCTAATATTTTATTGATACATAGAGTATTTTATTTGTATAGACCATTAAAAATATATTTCGTATATTTAAAAATCCCTATTAAAGGAGTATCTTATTTGGACGGCTGAGAGATGAGAATAGAATAATACAAGAGGCTCGTGTCATGTATTGTTAAAATAAACGTACTCCTAAATACAGTACAAATTAAAGTACTCCTTACTGTATTATTAATGAGTATTATACAATAATTATAAACAATGAGATAATTTTTTAAAAAAAAAATAAAAATAATAATAATAATGAAAAAGAAAACAGCTGGCTAATGGGCCTAATAAAATCTTTGTAAATAGCACCCAAACGAATGAGAGAGACGTGGTCACATGAGCCCAACCAGATACTTGATGGGGGTCCCCCACTCTAGTATAAAGTCTCCCCTCTCTTTCTCCTCCTCAATTTATTCACCTTTTTTTTTTTAATACTGTAATTTAATTTAATTACCTTCATTTTTCCATCACATTTTTTTTTAAAAAAAAATATCACTATTTCCTAATTTTATTCTACCTCTTCTTTCGTTTTTCAAAAGAACCTTCCAGGACTCCCCTTTTTTTTTTTGTATAAATTTAATTATGTTTTTAAAAAAATATATATTCAATCAAATTAATTACCTAGCTAGGTAGATAGCTAGAAATTGGGATTGAACTAATTAATAGTTCTGAATTCTTATACTACTGCTCATCTGTTTTAATGAAAGTTTGGAAAATACAAAAGAAAATGTTGTTTATAGCATAAGGTAGGTAGACAAAAATATCTTTAAACCCTAACTAGCTATATAGTTTTCAGTCATCACTCATCTCTCTTTAAAATGGGTTCTTCTTATTACCCTTTACATTTATTTTATTTTCGTAGAGTTGATTGAGTTTGTTTGAAAGAGGGAAAAGGATTACCAATAGAAAAAAAAAAATTGGAGTATACTCCGTCTTCTTACAAAGGTTTGGTGCATCGAGAGATAGAGTGGATGTCGTCGTCGTCCACGAATAATAATTTAGCATCAACGGGAGCAGCATCGACAACCAAGATAGAGGTGGTTGATGAGGAAGAGGGGAACAAATCGGTAGTAGTAATAGAGAGGGAGCATATGTTTGATAAAGTGGTGACTCCAAGTGATGTTGGGAAATTAAATCGGTTAGTAATACCAAAGCAACACGCAGAAAAGTACTTTCCGTTGGATTCATCCAACAACGAGAAAGGGTTGCTGCTGAATTTTGAGGATCGCACGGGGAAGCCGTGGCGGTTTCGGTATTCGTATTGGAATAGTAGCCAAAGTTATGTGATGACCAAGGGGTGGAGTCGGTTTGTCAAAGAGAAGAAGTTGGATGCTGGTGATGTTGTTTCGTTTCAAAGAGGTGTTGGTGAGATTGGTAAAGATAAGTTGTTTATTGATTGGAGGAGAAGGCCTGATGCTTCTACTTTGCTACCTCATCATCACCAGTATAATAATCCGCAATCGATTTCGCAGTTTCATCATCACCACCACCATCATCACCGGAATGTTGTTCCTGCTGCTGCCGCGGCTGCTTGGGCTGGTGCTAGTCCGACTTTTGTGTTGAGATCTCATCCGCACCCTCATCCTCATCCTCATCCTTATTCTCAGCCTTACCCTTATCCTCCGCAAGGCGGGGGAGGGGGAGGGGGAGGGGGTGTAGTTTGGGACCACCAGGGTAGTAGTACTACTACTCATCATTTATCTAACATGAGTCTAATGAATGTGATACCTTCTTCACAATCACATCCGTTTCGAAGGGGTAATAACACGAGTATTACTAGTGGTGGTGTTGGTGGTTACGGATTCGGGTTTGGGAATGCAGTCAACCCTCCGCAGTATCCAGTAACAGGATCCTTGATATTTCTTAGATCTTCATCGTCAATAACACCAACATTTGGAGCATCATCATCAACAACATCATCGATACCACAAAATATTGAAGATCATCATCAGCATCAGTTTGAGCAGGGTGGAGGAGGAGGATCACTGATGCAGGTGCAGAGGGAGGAAGGTGGGGTTGAGCCCATGGTATACGAGTCGGTGCCGGTGGTCCAAGGCAAAGCTGCAGCTAAGAGGCTCAGGCTATTTGGCGTGAATATGGACTGCCCCATCTCCCATCAAACTCATGATTTTGACATCTTGTCTTCCTCTTTGGCATCCTCGTCCACCCCCAACCACCCTTCGCCTCATCATCATTATCTTCTTCAACAACAACAACATGACCAACAACAGCATAATACTACTACTACTACTGCTGCTATTTCAATGGGCCCTCCTTCTTCGTCTTCATCTTCTTCCTTCTCCTCCTCGCCTAGCCAACAACAACACCACCACCTTCTTCCCTTGCAACTAAGGTCATTCTACGGCGGCGCCGGCGCATCTCCTGTCAAAGGCAAGTCATCCACATCATCATCATCCATGTCTTTAGATTTGGACATATGAATCAAAATCCTTTCAAAACCAATTTTTATATTTTTTTTAACATCTAGCTCAAATGTTAGACTACATCAGAAACAAAGATGCAGAGAGAACAAAAGGGTTCATTTTTTTTTTTTTTAATTAATCAAAAAAACAAGAGGTAATTTAAGTAAGATCATTATTATTATATAATAAGCTCATTATTCAAAAAATTGCAGCTTATTAATATAATTAGTTTATCCCCTCAAATGTATCAATTGCTGTAATAGAGGAACACTAGATATAGTAGGTCTAAAATACCCATTAACCATCCTAAAAAAAAAAATCATGTATCCCTCTCAAGTCACAACCATCACAGTACACACCAACGTTACTGTTCGTACCGAGCCGCATTCACAAAGGAAGATTGATCAAAGACGAGTCGAAAGCGCCCAAGATCAGTAGTACTACTTCTCTCAGTCCTACTATCATATTAGTCATCATAATTTCTTTAATTCATGTAAATTACATCTTAATTATATATCTATATATTATATTACTGCATTTGACTTATATAATTATATGAATGATACAACTTTTTTTTTTATTTATTAATTACTCAATCATGATCAAAGTTATAATAATTTGGCATGCTGGTGTATTAGATGTACATCCAATTGATCAAAGTTTCCAAATTTCAATAACTGCAGTATTCAGTCTTTTTCTTATTCTGTCTCCTTGGATTGTTTCTCTCTCCTACTTTCTTTTTCTGCAGCTGTGTTTCTGCTATTTAATTCTTAACGAACTTTCTGACTTAAGAATAATAAGCTAACAAAGTTGTGTAATTTTAAGGTACAATGTCTACCTCCCCATCTTATAGGAGAATTATTTATATATTTATTTATTGTGTGTTTGTATTACACTATATATATTATGTGATGATATGTAATTCTTTGGTAATATTGTGTGTTTGTATTACATTATATTATGACAAAATTTGTAGAGGATGTTCGTTTTTGCTCTTGTTTGTTGCTGCTAGAGTGCTAGCTGCTGAATTCGGCATGCCTGCAGGTGCTGAAACAACTAATTTCCTCTATCAATTTACAGTTTCAGATCCTTTTATAAGGTACTGTCTTTCTCATCAGTTGAATGCATGTTTTTTCTTGAACTAGTTATATACTCTATATTTTTGTTATTAACAGTATAACAGTAAAAATATATATAAGTATAAATAATATTTCTCAGTAATTTTTGATTGCATGATAATGTCTTGCATTGAATGAACATGCCCGGTATGGGGGAGAAAAATGTGTGTAGTATATGTACAATGAGCATCCATACATGTGTCATGTGTGTATGATCGATCTAAGAAGTGGTACTACGAGTAGTACATATGTTTTTTCTTATACATCGGCCTACCTCTTAAGATATACTTAGTCTAGCTAGGCTAATTAGAGCTAGCCCTAAAGTTTCTGCTTCTAATTCCTTTACAACTCGATCTATATGATACTTAATGCATTATTATTAACTTCAATGCATTCACTTTAGTAATTGTATTATTGAATGCTTCTAGTATAATGTGTCATGTGAAAAACTATATGAAGACCTTAATTTTCATGTTACACTTTATTTATGATAATTTGAAATATCATTATTCGTTTTAGATTTAGCCTCTACATTGATATGTATTTGTTACTATAACGTATATGGAGATAAGATAAACGGGTGAACCAGAAGTTTTTGAGGCTCATAAATAGCTAAAGAGCTGAGTTTAGTACACAAGAAAATATATAATATAAAGTACTGAAGTACATCCTTAATTTTAAGTTGTATAAATGTATCATGAATGTTTGCTAGATGATAATTGAGGGTACAACTAAATCCTATGTTAAGGAAATTTCTAATTTTACTTCAATAGTTCAATTCAAGTATATGTGTATTATCATATCTTTGATACTTCAATATGTTTGTGGATGGAATTTTTATCATATACTTCGTACAAAATAGGTGAGTCGACAATTGGACATACATACTAGCTTATGTCTATTCATGAACGAGTTTGAAGTTTATTTGCTAGCTAGCTTATGCAAATTTGATGATAGCTCACTATCATTGTCCTTTAAAAATTGTTTGATCAGATCAACTTCCAAAAAGGGCTTGCTTCCAATCCATTAGTGATGATATCTCATTTCTCTACTTACATCAACAATTAGGTAGTTTCATCTATCTACTACAATTCTAGAATACAAGTGTTAGATATGTACATTACTTAGAAATCCACCTATATCGTGAATGTATAGTAGGAAACGCAATATGAAGAACAGGAAACGGTGTCATTCTAGAGCAATTGATAGTATTCTACATGAATGAGGAAAACATGCATTATATTAGTTCAATTTCATGCATGTCAACAAGCATATTATAGTATCATGTATGTATAGCTAGCTTTAATTTTCTAACTGTATCTTTGAACACACCAATAAAAATATAGGGAAAGTTAGATTTAGAATATAGGAATGCTAGGAAATGAATATATATGCTTATTTTGGCCCCTTTCTTTAGAAATTGCACTCCTCGGAGTTGGCTAGAGTGTTGATGGTTAAATGTGTGTGTCTTGCCCTACTAGCTAGCTTGTGAAATTCATATTATGGAAATAAAATTATTGTTGTTTACAACATTCTTTTAGTTCTTATCTAATTTGTACATTTAGATTATAACAGCCAAATTATTAGGTTCGTTAGACCATTTAAATGCCATATATTAAAGGTATAGGGTGAATCTGAAGATATATATCAGAGGCATGTGCATATATGAAGTTAGAGTGTTGTTGCTGCTGCTTTGTTCTTGTTACATTAGCTTAAATAGGATATATAGCTGGTTTTTCAATGGTTAAGTTTTTTTTATATAGTGTAAAAAAATGAACATTGAGACCTTCAAGTTGGTGTCTCATGGTTTAAGAGTTTATTAGAGCTAAATTCTTTTCCAAAAGGTAAGGAGACAAAATCTAGGCTTCTTTTATCTCGAGGTTGAATTATATTCTTAGTTCTTCAAGATAATAGTATAAGGTGACCAAAAGGATAGATGATGTTGTCCTAATCTATATTCCTTACCAGTTAGTAGGTTGTCACTCAATTTGGATCTCTATAAATACACGCTAACTTATATAAATGATTTTTGTTGGTAGTGATTTGAGTCTAGTATGTCTTTTTTTTGGTGTTTAGAGAACCACAAGGGCGGGGGTGAGAATCGATCCCAAGATCTCCTAGAATTCGGAAGGTTGCTCTAACTACTTGAGCTATCCCTCACTCTCATTTGAGTCTAGTACGTGATTGGTGGTATATATAAACTATTTATTGCAGTTTAGACCGTCTATTTATTTAACACTCAAATCAAATACTACGTCGGTTATTCAATCTGCAATAATAATGTTGGTTCTATGAGTATAAAGATTACAAAGTACTAAGAGATCGAATAAGCAATTGGATCGTAGGAATAAAGTGAATTTCTTTATTATGTGTTAAATAATTATCGTGATTATACATTTAGAATGAACCAAATTATTGTTAGGGTTTCTTAATGATCACATTGATGGTACATGACTAGGGAACATATCAAAATATTCTCGTAGATGATTCTATACATCAGCTCCTCAAGATATTGTGATTGGTGATGATACATATAATATGTAATGTAATAGGAGGATGATTATTTAACGTATTTCCTAGAGATAATGTTGCAATCATGCGCATGCCTATGGGATTCTTGCCTAAGTTTGTCTTTGTTTTTGACGATATGTGTATGTAATTAAAGTGTTACATATCCCTGGACTCTGGTTAGACTAAAGCTAAGCTAGGGATTTTTTTTTATATATAATGTAAATGAAATATGTGAGTATATTAATTTAAACAATTAGGTTTCTCTTTATGCTCGTTTTACATCAATTCGAATTTATGGGTCATGTTATTGAGTGTCTTCGGGAACACAATAATAAAAAAAAATTGATAAATCTTAATATAATTTCATAATTTAATTTCTTATCTTATTTGATGATCTGAATCGTTCTTTTAATTTGAAAGTTGCAACCTATATTGAAAAATTAAAGATTCGTTGTAAGTATATATGTATGATTCTAAAGTTGTTTTGAGAGAAAGCATGCATGAATCAAATGCATCTTATATGTTTGAAGTTGGTTACACAACTTATTAACAATCGTTTTATATAACCAAAAGGATTAGGTTTTTATATCTTTATTTCAAAATTTTTGTTAGACAATGTTATTCAAATCTAAGAGAATATATCAGTCAAATAAAGGAGGGCAACCCCCCTCCCAAGAATCCCTAAATGCTATTATACTACCCTATAAAGCATAATAGATAAGAAGAGCTTTTTCAAACCTATTATCTATTTATTAATGATCACATTATTCACATATTTAAGCATAGAGTTTGTAAAATAATTCATAAAGAATATTCAAAATCGCTCCAAAATTACCAATCCATCCAGAAAATCCAATAATCACTACACCACATGGTAAATATTATAGGACCCTTTTTGAAAATCAGTAGTAATTTTTACTCTTTTACCAACTGTGACTTGACATATATTTATACGGTGAAATGTCCAAATTCAAGAAACCAATATTTTGGACCACTTATCTCAAATATGAAATGATGATTAATCAGAAGTACATTATAAACTTTTATTTTAAAAAGGGTTGTAGAATATGTAACTCAATTTTAGCTATGGACCCAATTTACTTTTTCCATTTACTAAAATCACGACAAAGTTTAAGTCTGTTATATTTGCATGCTCAGTAAAAAAAAAGTTGCGATATTCAAAATAAAATGAAACAATTATGTTATTACGATTGCACTCATATGAGAAATGTATGTTATATGTGGATATACGTAGAGGTAGGTACACTTCGGTATCATCAGATATAATCCGATATATTAACGCAACCTTTTTAAATTTATATATGGCACAAAGATTAGGGCAGAGGTATATATTTATAATAGTATAGGAGAGAGTAAAATATGGAACCTAATTCAACATATGGTTTACCCAACTACCGGCCATACTGTTAAAAAAATTTCCTTATATAGAGCTACAAATTTAAGTGATGTTTCCAATAAGATTATAGCTATTGACCTAACTACTCACATAGACCTACAAATTTAAGTGATGTTTCCAATACTGTATGTATATAGCTTAATTTCATATGATGATTAAATTACTGTAACTAGTAGAGCACTTTGGTTTCATTGGCAACCATATATGACTTTTATAATTATTCATTGTGTGAACTGTAAATTAGATTCTAACTAGCTTTTTAGCCTGTGCAAATCACAAATTGAATTCTATGATTGTCTTGGTATCATGAAAAAGCATGAGAAAAAAGGGACAAAAGTTGAGAGAATATATGTATTATTATGTGTATGTTTGTGTGACATGCAATAAAAGACAGATAATTAAATACTTTTATTACTTTTTTTTTTTTATCATCTTACTTGGAATTTTTTTAGAGATAAAAAATCATCATGTTAGGAAGCACATAAAGAAATAAATAGAGTATAAATTCAATATTTACTTATTACTTAAATTTTTTTATCGCACCCCATGTATTATTTCTTTATTAATTAGGGTATGTTCACATTTACTGAACTGGGCTGAACTGAACGGAATTAAACTGGTTAGAACTGAGCTGAATTGAATAGAGCTGAAATGAATATTTTATAAGAGAAGGAAATTAGGAGCTGTACTGAACTGAATTGAACTAAATTGATTATTGGAGTTGAAGTGAACTGAAATTA